ATAATCATACACAATCAAAACTTTTCAGCATCTCACATTCGGATGAAAGAGAGATGAAAAACATCCAGTTACGAGGGCAAAGAAAGACTGATAACCACTTCTTTCTGAACGCATAAATCAGGTTTCAGGCGCTTGATGGAAATGGCATCAGCAAACTTGAGAAGAATTGAGCTCTTTTGTTTATTGATAATTCTGAACGACTTTTTGACGTCCACCTCATGACCCGTGTCGAGGAGATGCCTGCCGATGGCACTGTTTAAAGCATTTGTTCCCTTCAGACGTAAGCTTTTTGATACACGTTCGGAAAATCGTAAATATGCTTTTCTTTCTGTTCTTCCAATGTCGTCCAGAAAGAAGCGTTTATCGGTCTTTCTTTGCCCTGGTAACTGGATATTTTTCATCTCTCTTTCAGCCGAATGTGAGATGCTGAAAAGTTTTGATTGTGTATGATTATTATTGTTCAGAATAGTGTTTAATATTGCATAAATATATATGTATATGTATTATTACTGTATGTGTATATCGATTGTTTGATTTTTGTTTAAAATGAACTCTGTGCAAGTGTGTTAAAATTATTTTTGTAGATACACTTAATAATGTATTTGCCCTGTAAGCAGCTGACGAGAAGGCAACGAAATAAAAGATGGTACCATTTTATTCTGCTAAAACTGCAGTTCTTGCTTTGTTCAAATTCATTAAGGGGAATAAATGTATGAAATTATCGAAAAGAGTATTCTTTGTTCAGTAACCATTCTTTTAAAATATAAATTAGTTTGATTGAGAGATGAAATCAGTTAGAGAGCCAATGGAAAACCTGGGGTTACTGGACAGCTATTTCGTCCCACTGAAGTTCGAACCCAAGACCTTCCGGTTAACAGGCGAGCTCATAGACGATTCAGTCACTGGGACCCGACCCAATGGCCTATGAATTCCAACTTCTGCCGATTCACGTTATACATGACACAACTGCTGGTCAATGTCATCAACGAGTAACTGTTCTCTCAGCTGACTTGGTGAACCTCACTGTTTACGACTTCTCAGTGAAACTCCTGGTAACTTGCTGTGCCAATTGAGAATCAAATTAATTATCGAGTGTCACAATATGAATGCGCATGTTTACTATCAGTCCAAAGAAAAATCTTTCTTCTTGTGAAGCGACATAACAAAATTTAGAGATGGAACCGGTTGTTCTGACCATTCAATAACTTTTCAGGCTATGAAGATCACTTTAGCGTGTATCTTCCATCTGTTTATTTGCGCTGTAAGTTACAGCCAAAACGAGGGTCAACACTTGAAATCGTTGACCCCTGGAGAAGCAATTTTTTGTTTTAAAAACTACATTTATATTTCTGTTCAGATAAAATAACCTTCCTGGCCAACTTCTTATTTCATTTATTTTATCGAGGTAAATTTTCTTTATCGACAAAATCATCTTCAGAGGCTGTACAATCGTATTTACACTTACAAAAATATACAGTGGTCTATTATTGAGTAATAGGGAAAGGTGACATAATTGACAGAATTACTCAGAAGTGGCTTTAGAAGTGAAAATTAAAAGTTGTAAATTACGTGGTACTCAACGGCATGAAGATAGAAATTTGATAAGGTTAAAATTGCTATTGAGTGAGTGAGAATAAAGGTATTTGAGTGTCAATTTAAAAAGTGTGAAGAGGGTGTGAAAATGTACAAAAGGAACATATGAGAGCGACAATAGTGAATTAATTATTAAAGTAAAAGCAAACTAAAAATTAAATTGAAAATAAAAAAATAAAAATTGATAGGAAACGACTGGTGAAGAAATTAAGACGATGGTAGAACAATAGACGGGACAAACGTTTTCTGTTTATAGAGAAAGTTGGAGGTTGTATTGACGAATTGCCAACGCCTCAGCCATACACAAATGCCAAAACCTGAAGCCCTTTATGCCATTTGTTTCTTATTTTCTTCATGACTCAATGGGTATTTTCGTTGATTATCGAGGTAAATTAATTTAGTTTTGACTTAGCGCTAAAACTACTTACCAAACTCACATAAAATATGTTTTTATTAGAAAAAACTCACTTTACGGTCAGAAATCTTCATTTACCTTAAAGGTTTTGCATATATATAAAAGCATGAGAAAACATCATTTTCCCTAAGATTAGTGATGTACACACAAAGGAGCACAAAACATAGGTCAAGAACTTCGTACCGAACAGCTACCGTTAAAAGTATTAGGTATGAGTTAACTTTACTGAAACCAATCTGGAAATCTTCGTCGCTCAGCATCAACAACAAAATTCGGATTTTAAATACAAACGTCAAGACAGTCAGTTCTTCTATACGGATCAGAAACTTGGCCAGTGTGTCACAAAAAATATTTCCAACAGCCTGTTGCAGACCTTTATCAACAACTAACTGTCTTCGTTCTATACTCAACATCAGATGACCGGAAAGAATCACGAACAAGAAACTATGGGAACAAACAAAACAAGAACCAATCGCTCAACAAATATGGAGGAGAAAGTGGAGATGGATTGGACACTCGCTGAGGAGGCCGCTGGGTGACATTGCGCGTCAGGCCAGTGCTCGAATGGAACCCGAAAGGGAATCGGCGAGTGGGACGTTCAAGGTTGACATGGAGGAGATCGTGAGAAGAGGAGCTGAAACAGTATGGACTAACATGGATGCAGGTGAAAAGTACGGTAGAAGACAGAAGTAAGTGGAGAGGTGCAGTTGAAGCCCTATGTTCCACTAGGAACCCGAGGGAACAATAATAATAATGAGTTTACTTGTTACCTAGGCATCTTTCAGTATTTTCTCCGATAAAGCATCTTATATTTACATTGGTAAACAAAAAGGAGGTATACTTGGCCGAATTACGAATTTAAGCTGAAATGTTATATTTCGTACTGCACAGACAGCATATTAAGAAAAGAGACCAGCAATATTGTGTACAGAATTAACGAAGTAATACTCTTTCTTATACTTTCGCAGATAATTAGTATCTTTTATCGTAAAAACTCGAAGATATACGAGGAAAAAGCAACAGGTTGACAGAAGAAGCAGAGCAGACAAAAATCAGATGAACATAGAGAGGAGGGAGGTGATGAAGATACTCAGTGCCTACAAACCAGAAGCAGTGATCACCATCAATGGAGAAATCTAAAGGAAATCGTTTCTCTTACAATTACCAGAATTTTGCCGCACCGTTTCAACCACAGGCGGAATGAATGAAGATGTCAAGGCCAGTCAGGCGTTCACTATTCTGAAATCTGTGTGGAGACCAACAGCACTCAGCAAACAGCACAAGATCCGAATTTTTAACACTAATGTCAACTCAGTCAGGACTTCTGTGTAGTTCAGAGACTTGGGGCGTGCATTACTGAAATCATTCCCAATGGATTACTGCAGAATTTCATTAACAGCTAGTTATCTTAGCCGGATCTTGAATATAAGATAAAAGTCCAGGAAAGATGGGCAACTCTAACAGTGAACCAGCCAACAGCCTATCGCGCAAAAATATATAATGAAGAAAACTGAAACAGACTGTCTATACGCTGAGAAGACATCCAGTTATCATCTCACAACCCAACCGCTCGACTGGAACTCCAATGTGAAGTAGAGAATTGGGAGTTAATTTCAGAGTGACAAGGAGAAGAACCTATGAACAGGAAATGATACGTTGTTAGCAATAATGCAGATGGCTTAAATTGATGAAAGAGAACTGAGTGCTGCAGAGATGCCCTGTTGAAGCCATATATACCACTTCTCTAGATGAGGCATAAGAAAGTTTGCTAACTAAAAGTTGTTAACCTAAAAATAACTTTTCAATCATCTATTTATTATGAGTTAGCTTTACACATTCTACTGTGTAGTAAAAGAATGACTCCAGAGGTGTTTAAGTACGGTGCAGACAGTTTACTGTCTGCATTAACTGAGGTTCTAGGCAGCGTCTGGGAATCAGAGGAAGTCCGATCGGGTTGGTGTAAGTCACTGACCATCCCGATATATAAGAAGGGAGACAAGTCTTCTTGTGATAATCACAAGGGAATTAGCTTGACTAATATGGCATCTAAACTTCTGGGCTCAATAATCATGCGTAGACTAAGCGGTGTAACGGAGGAACAAACACGAGAGAACCAGGCAGGCGGTCAAACGAAAACATGGCACCAGTCAATGAAGTCTACAACAGTTAGTCTAAGCCACGAAGGTGTAGACTTCCTGGTTGGGGTCTTCAGGACGGTAGAAACCAGTGGTTGGAAACAATTGGTGACATGGCTCAAAATCGTTCTCAATGGCTGGCGCAGATGCATCCACTCCTTGTGACTTATGATTTCCAATGAAACTGTTTTGTTCTCCGTTATTACTATTCCTTTGTCTCATACCTCTGTTTACTGTCTATATTATGCATTTCTCCTACTTTCTTCTCTTGCTTTGTGTGCTACATGGAGTGTGGTGACTTGAATTGCCGCACATTGGTGCAAAGCTCTATGTGGTAAAACAGAACAGAACAGTAGTAAAATACAAATTGAAATAATAAATGAGTAGCCCAGAGGGGCAGAATTTTTTCAATCCCAAAGTATTTTGATCCAATCACGGTTACCGAGAGATTTTATGGCTTAACCTTTATCCTGACAGACATTATTTCACAATATTTTAGAATTCTTGTTTTCTGAACGATAAAATATTGTAGATAGTTGTGCTCAAGATTATTTTGCTTCCTTCAGAAAAAATGATCGATATTTTACTTTGAGTTGACGAACCAATTAGAATGAATTACTAGTTTCTTTATTTCTACCATTGGTATTTATCTAATCTTTAGTTAAAATGAAAATATTTCCCAAGTAAATCCCAGTTCTCTTGTTCAGAAAAAAAGACCACCACCACCAACAACAACAGGAAAAGTAGCTTATAGCCAGCAGTATCTTGGCGTACAGAATAAAATATTTTAGTGAATGCTTAGGTGGATTTTATAGTCAGTTTAGACATTATTAATTAATGAGGAAAACTCTAATAAAATGGATAGTCTAATGTTGTCCAAGGATAAAAGTCTTCCAAGCAGATGTAATTCAAATAGAACTGAAGTATTAAGAAAACATTTGGAAAAGTTACATCAGATTATAGGTAAGTAAGTATATTTTGAATTTATTGAAAATTAACTGGAAATTTGAAAAGAGCGCAAAATTTTTTTATTTACGCAGAATATGCATATAAACAACTCATGTATGTTGAATGTTTAGGATTAATTTTTAAATGAATGTCAGTATTAAAATGGGTAAAAATAAGGAGTGTTTTAGGTGAACTTTTTATTTTTAATGAAATATCTACAAGTTGAAGTTTTGCATCAAATTTCTATGACTGAAATGGTGGACTGCTTAAAACTTGGTCCACCAAAAACCACTATCATTATGAAGAAAATAAAAGACAGATTCAGCGAAGAATCCTCAAGAATAAGGAGGATATGTTCAAGTGATACAATCGTTGAGGAACTGGAGAGACTCAGACAAGTCCTCATAGAGAATGGATATCCTCCAAGATTCATCGAGAAAAACATGAAGCCAAGGGAAAAACCCGAAAGAATACAGACGGTGCCGAAGAAACTACTGTCTATGAGTGTCGAATTTAAAGGTGATACCGCAGCTGAGATCCTGAAGAATCGCTTATGCAGATCACTGAGGAAAGCCTTCTTTATGGCTGAGCTACGTATCAACTTCTACAGCCGACAAATGATCAACGGGTGTGTGAAGGATAAACTGCCGCTTTGGGCCACCTCAATGTGTGTTTATAAATTCACTTGCTCGTGTGGAGCTAGTTATATTGGCCGCACAAAGCGCACGCTTTCCAAACGCATCTCTGAACATTATCCGGCATCGTTAGCAAAGGGACAATGTAAGACAATTACTAGCTCAATTCTCGAACATTTAGTGAACTCAGGCCACGTAGCTCCACCAGAATCGTCTTTCAAGATCATCTACAAAGTGAAGCCAAATGGTACAAAGGGCGTCAGGTTTCGGCTTTTGTGTATGGCGGAGGCTCTAGCAATTCATCAATACAACCCTGAACTCTGTATGCAGAAAAAGTTTGTCCAGTCTCTTATTCTACCTTGGTCTTAACCTCTTCACTAATCGTTCCTTGTAAATAAAATATATTTTGATTTTTTCTTTTCATTCTAATTTCACTTTTAGTTAGCTTTTGCTTTAATAATTAATTCACTATTATCACTCTCATATGCTCCTTTTGTATATTTTCACACCCTCTTAACACTTGTTAAATTGACACTCAAATACCTTATTCTCACTTAATAGCAATTTTAACCTTATCAAATTTCTATCTTCATGCCGTTGAGTACCACGTAATTTTCAACTTCTAATTTTCACTTCTAAAGCCACTTCTGAGTAATTATATCAATTATGTCACCCCCTATTACTCAATAATAGACCACTATATATTTTTGTAAGTGTAAATACGATTGTACAGCCTCTGAAGATGATTTCGTCGATAAAGACAATTTTCTTCGCTGAATCTGTCTTTTATTTTCTTCACTATCATTATATTGGCGTATAATTTCTCTTCTTCACTTTGTCTTAATTTGTTAAAATATGGTCTTTAACGGTATTCATTAATCTCGCGAGTACTTAAAATATCTATAACCTGTCACAAAGAATATTTCCAACAGCCTGTTGCACACCTTTATCAACAACTGTCTTCGCTGGCTCTATACTGAAGATCAGATGGCCGGAAAGAATCACGAACAAGGAACTATGGGAACAAACAAAACAAGAACCAATCGCTCAACAAATATGCAGGAGAATGTGGAGATGGGTTGGACACTCGCTGAGCTGAGTAGGCCGCTGGGTGACATCGCGCATCAGGCCATAGCTCGAGTGGAACTCGAAAAGGGAAGTGGCGAGTGGGACGTCCATGGGTGACATGGAGGAGATCGTGTGAAGAGGAGTTGAAACAGCATGGACTAACATGGATGCAAGTGAAAAGTACGGCAGAAGACCGGAGCAAGTGGAGACGTGTAGTTGAAGCCCTATGTTCCACTAGGAACCCAAGGGAACAATAATAATATAATAATGATAACCTGTAGTTTCTAAAGTTTATACCAAACTTGAGAAAAGGCTTAGTGGTGGGTGGCAACATATCCCAATATATGCGATAAGTGTCCTTGAGGTTTTTAGTACAAACGACCACTGCCGTAGAAACAATCAATAAATAAAACAATAAATTTTGTTCGAAACCTCGTCATCCAGGGAATAATACTGTTTCACTGACTGTGTGGTACATCTAATAAACAAACTAATATGGAATTACTTACTACCACAGTGCCCAAGTTTTACACATATATATTAATATGACTTATGGTCTTCCTGTACGAAGATTTATCAATAAACTCACTCGACTTTCACAAACTGAAGCAAGATATGAAAATCATCGTATTTTCAACATTCTATGCTTAAAAGAAGGAAATCATTCCTAAATACCTACGAATACGAGCTCTAGTTCCAAGGGACAGGGTTAGAAGCAAAATATTATTCAGTAAATACCGCTAAAAGAATCTAGACATTATATAAGGACTTTCTAGAATAAATTTATTGTAAACTATTCCAGGATCCGTGCGTCGGCGGTGCAACGGTAGAATGCTCGCCAACCACATGCGTGTGCGGAAAGATATATCTTCTAATCAAACTTGTCTCGTCAGCTGCACTTTACGCTAATCAAATTGCAGAGAAATGAAAGTCTTTCGTCGGAATACGACAGAGCTATTCACAATGCGATAAAGAATCCGTTCATCTTATTGTCAAACAAAATACTAAAGTGCCGGAGAAGCTGATTGTTTCTTTTTGTCAAAGCATAACAAATAGATATTGTGCACATTTTATTTCGCAGCTTCTTTTCAGGTGAAAGCATCCTAAATAAACATAGCACTAACGAAATGAGAACATACCATGTTGTCTGAACAGAGGCGATTATGGCATCATTGCACACTCGTCATTGCTTTTCCTTATTAAAAGACTGATTACTGAGCAAAGAGTATTCTTTTCGATATTATTATTATTGTTCCCTCGGGTTCCTAGTGGAACATAGGGCTTCAACTACACGTCTCCACTTGCTCCGGTCTTCTGCCGTACTTTTCACTTGCATCCATGTTAGTCCATGCTGTTTCAACTCCTCTTCACACGATCTCCTCCATGTCACCCATGGACGTCCCACTCGCCACTTCCCTTTTCGAGTTCCACTCGAGCTATGGCCTGATGCGCGATGTCACCCAGCGGCCTACTCAGCTCAGTGAGTGTTCAATCCATCTCCACATTCTCCTGCATATTTGTTGAGCGATTGGTTCTTGTTTTGTTTGTTCCCATAGTTTCTTGTTGGTGATTCTTTCTGGTCATCTAATCTTGAGTATAGAACGAAGACAGCTGTTGATAAAGGTGTGCAACAGGCTGTTGGAAATATTCTTTGTGACCCGCCAAGTTTCTGATCCGTATAGAAGAACTGACTGTCTTGACGTTTGTATTGAAAATCCGAATTTCGTTGTTGATGCTGAGTGACGAAGATTCGCAGATCATTTTTCAGGTTGATGAATGTGTTTCTCGCCCACCCGATTCTCGATTTCACATCCTTGTCCGTTCCTCGTGTCGTTGAGACAATGCTCCCTAGATAAGTGAAGTGAAAGAAGTAACCTCTTTGCAATCCCTCCCGTTGATGGTGATTGGCACTGGATGTTGCTGCTGCTGTTGTTGTTGGTTGGTTGTTTTCATAACCTCCGTCTTGTATATGTTCATCTGGAGTCCGTCCTGTGTTTGCTGCTTCTTCGACCAGTTTGTCGGTTTTCGCTTGTAAGTCTTCGATTTTGTGTGACATCAAACATAAATCATCCACGTGCGAAATCCAGGTCTTCTAGGTTCTTCACGTCGGTCCGGGATATCCCTGTCTTCTCGTTTCCCACTGTCTGACGTATAATCCAGTCCATCACAATTAGGAATATCATTGGTGATAATAAGCACCCTTGTCTGACTCCTGTGTTTACTCCAAACGCCTCACTGAGTTTTCCGTTGTGGATCACTTGACATGTGCCATTGTCGTACAGCTGTTGAATAAGGTTGATGAATATTTGGGGTACGCCGTAGTACTTGAGTAGTTTCCAAATTACTTCGCGGTCAACGCTGTCGAAGGCCTTCTCAAAGCCTATAAAGTTGAGGTAGAGGTTTGATTGTCATTCCATGCTTTGTTCGATGATAATGCGTAGAGTTGCAATTTGTTCAGAGCATGATTTGCCTTTCCTGAATCCAGCTTGTTCTGGTCGGAGTTCTGTATCCGGTGCGTCCTTTATTCTCTCCAGGATGATGGGACACAGGATTTTACTTGGCGTCGACAGGAGCAGGATTCCTCGCCAGTTCTGCAGAGTCCTAAGTCGCCCTTCTTTGGTAGTTTCACGAGGTAACCTTTCCTCCAGTCAGTAGGCACCTTTTCCTCCTTCCACACCTTTTGCAATAATGAAGCCAGCATGTCTTTTCGATAACAACATCTTTATCAGATTTTACTGTTATACATCTATCCGTAGTAATGAAAGAAAGGTTGTTATTGATAACATCAGTGGTTTTTAAAGACTAGCATCGAATCACACTTAGAACAGAATTCCAAAAGTTATTCGCAATTCGATTGTTAATAGATTATAGTCCGAGTTATATGTGTATGTGGTAATATGCACACTTGTAATACTAAATTGAACACCAACATTACAAAGTAAATGACTATGAATGACAATGAAAATATGGTAATGTATTCTCATGAGTAATGTTCATAATAAATTCTATTCATATTGGTTATAAACTTCAGATGGATGAATGGTCATGTCAAGAACGTGGATAGAGACAAGAGAAAACTTCGGGTGGCATTTTATACGCGCGTTGTGTGTGTGTGTGTCAGTGTGTAAGTAAACTACTACGTTTAAATAAGAAAACAAAAGGTTAGTTAATGCAAGTGTCATGACGAGGGGTAGGGGGATCTGCGAGTACAGGATGGAGGGCTGTATCAATAAAGGCCGATGTAATGTGGTATTTATGAATTTTCAGACTCCACAGTAGGCCTCGACAGGGCAGTAATATTGGCTGGTTGCACCTGTTTCTTTTGTACACAGGGGACCGGTTGTTTTAGGCGAATTTGAATAGCCTCTGGTGTTTAGAGTATGCGGTACCTGGATGCTTTTGGCAATTAATTCGGTGCCCAGTAGATAATTGTGAAGGTTTCTTCAATGCTGGGTTTGTGGCCCGTTTGGTTGATGCTTCGCACTGCACCTTTATTTAACCACAATGGTAGGTGTCCTCCAGCGAGCACGAAAAATCACGTTCCTAGAGTGATGGCCAATATAACTAGCTCCACCACAAGCGCAGTTAAATTGGTAGATACAATTGGAAGTGGCTATTCTAGATATTTCATCTTTCAATCGAGAAATCACAACCATTAGTGTAGAAAATAGTGACTTGTAGTTTAAAACAGTTAGTCCCTTTTATAAATTTTGATAGCATTATTAGAAGACGGAGATTATCTGAAAAATGTGATGTATTAGCGCTATACATTTCGAACAATCTGATCACACATTTACTTGTCAAGTCAATATATATGGAAAGGTTAAATTAAACAAGGTGACAAAAAAAAGAATTAAGAATAATTAACACAAACGTTTGGTAATCCAATCAAATAAGGATTACCAAGGTAGGTTAAGAGTAATAACAAACTGTTTTTGAATACACAAGGGGGGCTTAAGTTTACGAATGGCTATAGCCTCAGCGTATTTCAGTAAACGTCCTTGACCGTTTTTTTTGATGACCTTAAAGGCTGAGTTAACATCAACCTTATGGTTCATCTCGATTAAATATTTAGCTATAGACGAAGTTGGTAGTCTGGCACCTGCATCTATGGGCTTGTCACAATTCATCTGTTTTCCTAACCACTTTGGTATATGCTCTCCCACCCTCACGTGCAACGCGCGATTACTCCTCCCTATGTATGTATGTCCACACACACACGAAAATTGGTAAATTGTATGGGATGTGATATAATCACTTGTGCACTTTTGAGGTTTCCAGTGAAGCATATTTTTAGCCTTTTCGACAATTACAAGCTGGGCTGCATAGTAGGTTCTACGGATGATGGAATTCAACCTTTGTCTCAAAATCCTACTATTTATTTCCCCATTATATGGTAATTTGATGAAAACCTTTTTCTTAGGGACGGTATGGATTGTAGGTTTAGAGGCTAGTTGACTTCTACACCTGTTTAAAAACTTCGAAGGATATCCGTTTTCAACAAGAGTATCCATCAATATTTCGTTTTCCTTGTCTATAACATCAGCCGTGCAAATACGCTGAATCCTCTTAAATAGACACTTCACCAAGCCTCTCTTATATTGTAATGGACAGAAGCTGTGAAAATTAAGATACTGCCCTGTCCAAGTGGGCTTTCTGTAGATAGAACGTCTTATTGAGCCATCGTCTCTTCGACTCAGAAGTATGTCTAAAAATGCGAGCTTGTAGTTTACCAGCATTAAAAGTTCTTTGAATGGATATTCTTAACTTGATAGGGATTATTTCACTTGGTGCGTCACCCTTGAACTGCAGTCGTTTGTGTATATAAGGGCTTCTTCCTTATTAATGCTTAGATCTGTTTAGCCAGTAAAATTTAGTATTCTGATTTCTTATGCTCTATATGTACTTTAGGCTGGTTGAGCTGGAGAAAATGCTTAAAACACCCCGCTTACACTTTATACTGTCAATCTCGTTGTTCCTCTTTTAATAAATACGATGAGGAAGGGAGGGAGACTCATTTTTATGGATAACATTCCTAAATTTATCAAAGTTTAGATGCACTTTTACTTTTCAGTAGTTGGTTTGTAAGGATTAGATTTGTTTTTATGAGTTGGTCACGGATTGATATCAGTTAGAGAACCATTGAAAACCAATAGAGAGTACTGGATAGCTGTTTCATCCAGTCTAGTTTGGGAATCATCGACGGTGTGCACGAATTGGTAGAAGTTAGATTCCTTGGGTTGGCCATTGAATCGGGTCTCAGTGGCTGAATGGTATACGAACTTGCCTTGTAACTGGAAGGTCCTAGGTTCGAAATCTGGCGGTGGGTACATACTGCTGATGATTCCCAAACTAGGATGAAACAGCTGTTCAGTAATCTCTGTTGGTTTTCAAAGGTTCTCTAACTGATATTAATCCGTGGTCTTACCTGAAATAACACGTTTGAAAATGTCAATTATAACCCAATTATAATAATAGTAATATAGTAACAACGGAACACAAGAGTTCTTGGCGATGGAGCTATTTATTGGCAACTCGATAAACAAATACAGACAAAATATGTCTGCCATATTTTAGTATTTTCAAAAGTTTGTTTGTAGGGGTTTGATTTGTTTCAGTTTTGATAACAGATTGATATCCGTTAAAGAACCGTTTAAAACCAAAAGAGAGTACTGGAAGTAATAGGCAGCGCGTATCCATCAGCCGGCGTTTGAAGCCAGAACTTTTGCGTGAAAACGTGAGTCCATAGACCATTCAACCACTGGGACCTGAATCAATGGCCAGACCGTGAATTTCAATTCCCACCAATTTGTGATTTTAGCGTGACTGGTACCAGCCAGTGTCATTGGAGAGTATTTGTCCTCACTGCCGACCGGGTGGACCCCAGTGGTCACGAATTCTCACTAGAAAGACCTCCATTAAACTTCTTCCTGAAACCAGTCACTAGAGAGCAACAGATTAGTTCTCAAGAGTTTCAAGTATTGGTTTGTAGGGATTTCATCATGAGCTGACATCGGATATAGAACTATTGGAAAACTTACAGGGAGTACTGGACAGATGATTCGTTCTAGTTTAGAGATCTCCAACAGAACGCACCTACCTGGGCTTGTAGCCAGACGGTCCTGAGTTCAAGCCATGGCGGGTGCCCACTGACGAAGAGTCCCAATTCAAGACGAAACAGCCATCCATTACTCCCAGGTTTTCCAATGGTTCTCTAACCAACCTCAAGTGTTTGTTTGTTGGGATTTGATTTATTCGACCTTGCTAAAATCACGAATTGCTAATGAGAGGCATTGAGTTGGATCCCAGGGGCTGATAGATCTACCAGCTTGCTTTGTAATCAGAAATTCCTAGGTTCGAAGCCCAATAGTTGGGTGTGTACTCGCAATGGGTCCCAAGAACTAGGACAAAACAGCTGTCCGATACTTTAGATTCACAAATTGCATCTATCTTCGGTAGTGTGGTACTTTCCCCTTCCGTACTGTGCTTCTTTGCCTTCCTTCCATGTTTTCCACGCTCTTTGAAAATCACTGCTGATTTCTTCTCTTCGCCAATAAATCCATCAATCTCTCCGCTAATCGATATTCTTTCAAATTATACACATATTTATGTCTGTATTAATATACTACTTACAAATCTAATCAGCAACAGTAGAACTATCTTGTATTATAGAATCCTGAATTAATATATGCATAGTTAAATTGAAATCTAACTTTTTATTTCTACAGATATAAAATTCAATGAATGTGTCAAAAGATACGAAGAAGAGCAAACAACAAAATGGGTGGAACAGCTTCAGAATTTTGATCAAATTTCTGACTGTGATACTCCCTCAAGTGAAGCACTACATAGATACTTTGTCAGTAGTATATTAGCAAAGCGACCACAAAAGTTGGTAATACAAAGCAAGAGTGATTCAAATTTAAACATGAAAACAAGTAATCAATTCGTGGATACTACTGTAAGAAAAAATAAATCGAACGAAACGACACCCGGTCAGATTGTCGATATGACTCAATTCAATGTTACACCTCAATGGTCAACAGAAGATATCTCTGAGGATAGTAGTAACTACAGTGACAGTGTGGCAGAGAGTTGGGATAAAATATACAAAAAACCATTTAAAATAAAATCATCATTTGGTGCCTTAACGAATGTTAGAGACAAGCTGATAGAAACATACAGAATAGATTGTCAAATGCTCAACAGTCGACCTCTTAAATCAGTAATTTCTCGTATTGGCAAACTAGACACTACAGGGATTATGGATCTATCGGAATTGCATTTGAGCAAATTGCGATTTAAACCAGTGGCGAGTTTAATCAAGGTTAGTTAATATTACATTTTGTTAGGTATCTTTAACAACTGAGTATTATACATTATTGTTTCTACGTAAGACTGTTTTATAGGAGTTTCTATATCAGTATGAAGGGGCTGAATGGTACTTGAAGTCAATTGTTTGGTGGTGACTATTAGTGGAATCTAGTAGGATGTGAACTTCGTCTTATTTGGGACTCTTCATATGGATGCACCTGCACTCCGCAGTGAGTGATGATGTTCCCACTGAGGCTCAAGCCAAGTGCCCGTAGTCTCAAACACTAAAGCGTTGTCCACTAGACTGCTTGGGCCACGAGAGCCCACTCTTGTGAGATGGGTCTTTTTAGATACTTAATTAAATTTAGATTTTCTGGTCGGTGGAGTGGACCGAAGTGCTCGGTCTCAGGTTGACATGTTGGCTCCTTGTGCAGATGCCCTTTGACAATGTCTGGCCATGTAATTAGGAGTCGATTGGTTGATAGTGACTAGCTGTGTAATCTAGGACGCTCATTTCGTCCTATTCGGGACTTACCATCTGGATGCATCTGCATTCATTTGGTGAGGCTGAATGGTAACCTGTTTTCTTGTAAGTTATTAGGTCTGCATAATACCTATGATGCCGATGATCTAACTATTTCAATGTCTGTTAACTCCAGGCTTGACTGTACTAAGATGAACAGCTTTCTATCAGGAATTAGCAAATGGTCTTCGTCTAACGGCCTTAAACTTAACCCTTCTAAATGTCAGACTGTTAATTTCAATTTCCGATGTAAACGAAAGTTAAATGAAGCCGTTGGTTCCTATGACCCTTGCAAAATTGATGATACTGATATAGAAACGAAGTCTGAAGTTAAGTATCTTGGATTAATTCTCTCTTCTGACCTATCCTGGTCCTCCCATATCTTAGCGATTTCTAAAGAAATATTTCGTTTGACTTTTTACATTAAGAAGTTAAGGCACTCAGGCATAACTCAACCCCTCCTCTTACAGTTTGTCAACTCGTGTATTTTACCTATTCTTCTTTACTGTTCATCCTTATTCTTCCGCGGATTGTTTAAAAAAGACTATATCATACTTCGTAGAACTCTGAAGACTGTCAGTAGGACTGTAACAACAGAAGGCAAGGGTCAGGCAACAGATCATTTATTAAGGAAATCAACGCATATTTATATATTTTCATGTACATTACTATGGATATTTAAGCAAACAAACACAGTCTTCCAATTGGTTGTTTCTCACGTAAAGTTAATCTTTCATCTCTTTGTGACTATTTCTTGAATGTCAAATCCTCTATATGTTAACTGCATCCGCCTACGCAAAGTCTGCTGTGGTCGGTTTTGAATCAATCTTTCTTCACATTTTCTCACGACAAATCTTGGGAACGTAAATATTGACGTAAATTACTGTCTACCAATTTGGCTAGTAGACAGCTCTCACCACAGGACGAGTGGTATCCCATTGGGCCATATCGCTGACATTATCACTGATAGGCACTTGATTTCATGCAACAAATTTGCTAAAGGAATTTAGTCAGACTGTGAGCCCCCACTCTACCAGCAGCTCCAACTTTGTGTCTCCTCAGGTAAAACAAGAAGTCTTTTCAGAAGACTTTATGCACGTACGTCTAAGTATATAAAATTCTATACCATATTTGGCTGCATGTACTTTATGTGATGAAAATAGTGGCAGGCATGAACTAACTAACTGGCCTTCTTTGAACCACTAAATAAACCATTTCGTCGGTGGCACAGTGGTTAGGACTCTCGCCGACCATGCACATGGTCCGGGGTTCGATCCCCTGCCGGCGCACACCCGATATCTATGGTCAGCCTGAATTTGGGCTACCGATATCCATGCTGAGAATTCCATACTTGTACTGAAAATACGGTGTGGAATCAAGCTGTAAATCAAAATAAAAAAAAAATAAAATAAAAATTTCCTCCACTCTTACAAGACCAAACTTTATTGTTATTGTATTTCTTATATTTACAATACTCTTAAATTTTGTTTTTTGTTTATTTTTTCATAAGTGTGAACATCATTTAAGCTGTGTTATAACTGTTAATTTTGTCTTTCCCCTCACCACACTATATCAACAGAACATTAGATTCAATAATCTATAACATACCAAAGTTTACAAACTGAATAGACAATACTGTTTGAAACAAACTCACTGTTATTATTATTATTATATTTAATATTCTCAATTCGTGCTTCGAATATTTTTGACTTTATATCGTAAATGTGGACAAATTCCTCTGGTTAATTTTGTTTTAATTTTTAATTTTAATTATATTTTGAGTAAATCAGACGCAATATTGTGACAAATTCTGAGAATTCCATTCTGTATAATAAGTAATGTTTTTGGAATAAAGTGGATTATTATTATTATTATTATTAAATAACCCACTGTAACGTCAGTTTGTAATCCGTTATATTTTCTGTGCTTTATCATACAAAATGATTTTACTGTGATGTCGTGCTGATTTGTTCTATTGGGAAGTCATGACCAATGGGGTGCAGAAAGTTGGGTGTGAGAACAAATACTCATCGATAACATTCGCTAGTTGTAGCACCATATCGTGAATTGGCAGAAGTTGGAATTCATGGACTACTGAGTAGGGTCCAAGTGGCTCAACGGTCTACGAGTTAGCTCACCTTGTAACCAGAAGGTCCGGGCTTAGAACCCCAGTGGGTGTGTACTGATGAAGAGTTCCAAACTGGGCTAACGAAGCAGCCGTTTAGTACTCCCAGTTTGTTTTCCAATGATTGTCTAACCGATGTCAGTTCATGATGAAATCTTAAACTAATTTAAACAGTAATTTGATAAATATTTCATTTCATTTCTTTTTCGTATGTACAATTTAAACAAAACAGAAGTGCAGTACACTAGAACGATTGGATCTAAGTTATAATAATTTTGGAAATGTTGGTGTATCATTGGTCGATACAATATTGGATGAATTCGCACTTTTAACATACGTTGTAAGTGGTTGTTATTGAATGTCACTCATCAAAAACTTCATGTTTTGATTTATCTCCGTGCTTATGATGTTTCAATGTTTCTGATCACAGGAAGAATGAATCCGAAAATGGAAAGAGTTGGCGAGGAGGCTTAGTGGTGAAAAGAGCTAATTTATTTGAGTGTACTTGAGTGTACTGAAGTATTCAGATTTCCTAACAGCGGTTTATTTATAAAACCCAACTGGTAGGAGAAATATGCGAAATACGTTTACTTTGTATATTAGAATCTCATAATTTGCACACATCTTTGATCTTGTGTTATTTTTGTCTTATGTACAGAGCTTCTTTGTCTTCCTTTGGTGTTTTCGATGTTGTTTTAGAGGCGCCGTCCATTAAATCCCAATTTCCACCATTACATTTTCTTTCAGATGATATGAATATTTATGTCTGTATCAATTTACTACTTATAAGTCTTGTCAGTTGAATGCGTAATTGCAGTAATTCATCTGAGAACCTGACAAATTAGGCGTAGCAAATTAATATTATAATAGCATCGTATATTTACAGTTCCAATTTTACGATAACTGAGACAGAAGGATTTCCAAAGTTATTGTCATTTATTATTATTGTTATTATTATACGGTTAAAATACTAGTAATCACATGACAAGATTTCATCTGGATATAATGGGGAAGATTTGTAGCTCAGGTGGATGATTTTGATGTAGTTGTGTTCTTTAAGCTGGATGGTTTATTTACGAAGCTTTCATTGAACTACAAGGCAATATCTTCACAGCATACTTCAACTTGAATTGAAGTGAGCTTTTAGATTTCTCCACGAGTTTATTAGTCACCTCTCCTGGCGGGAGATGGTGAGCGTGAATGGTTGTTTTTGTGTGTTTTCACACCCTCTATGCTACTCGCATTGGTACTGGTGCTGTTTGTTTCCTTAACCCGAAGTTTGACCCTTTGTGTGTCAGATTTCCTTTTTATCGATTAGAAAATTTTTTCGGTGTCGTTGAGTCTATTAAGTGACGATTCACTGGAATACCAGGTCAGGTTCCTAAAAATTCTCTAGCATTCTTGGTATTTCCTCTGTCTGATATTTGAACGCTGGTTGTCCTAGTTGAATTGATGTCCACGATTGTCTAAATGCAGTGAGGCGATATGAAGGAGTAGATGTCATATCTTTTGACCGCTATATCTCTGTATACAGACAACCACGGACATCAATTCTACTGGGACAACCAACGTTCAAATATTAGACAGAGGAAACACCAAGAATGCTGGAGAATTTTCAGTAGCCTGGACTGGTATTCCAGTGAATCGTCATTAGTAGATACATTGACACAAACAAAATTTACTAATCGATAAAAAGGAAATTTCCCACACAAAGGGTCAAACTTCAGGTCAAGGAAACAAACAGCACCAGTAACAATACAAGTAGTCTAGAGGATGTGAAAACACACAAAAACAACCAATCACGACGTTGAAGGTCACCCACCAAGAGAGATGACTAATAAACTCGTGGAGAAACCTAAAAGCTCACTTCAATTCAAGTTGAGGTATGCGGTGAAGACACTACCCAGTAGGAAAAAGAAAGTTTCTCAAATAAACCATCCAGCTCAAAGAAGATTTCATCTATAAATAAGTTAGGCTTTAAACATCACGGATGAGAAAACCTAGTATCTAAATGTCTATTAGAGTGCACTGGATATTTAGAAACACTAGAGCATAATGTACCTTGTTTTATTTGCTTTCCTTTACCATCTAAAATAGCCTATTCACAGCGTTCATTGTCTAACTCAAGTGTAAATGTAATTCTCTTTTTTTTATCGAGTTTACATGTATGAAGAAATTTAGAGATATGTTCTCTCTTTTAACACTTTGAAAGTGTCATTCGAATATCTTCATCACAACTTTTGGGTGGGATTAAGTGTCTTAGGAGTTATATTCCCCCAACTATCTGTAAAGATATCTGCTAAGGTTGGGGATACTGGTGACCCAAATTCAAATAAAATTATTCTATAATAAGATTATACTCTACATCAATGCCGAAATTCTGTTCCTGCATCATTGGGAAATTGTTAATAAATAAAACAAGCAGAATTATAGTGAGGCAAGCTCATTAAGTTACCTCATTCAACAGGTATATAACAATGCGACATGTCAATTAATCCACAACGGAAGACTCAGAGAAGCTTTTGAAGTGAATTTTTGAGTAAGACAAGACTGCCTATTATCACCATTGTTATTTCCAGGTTGTGGCTAAATATTGATCAATTACCCTCGTGGAAGATTGCTTTTCAGTTAATATGTCTTGAAGATGAATGAACGAATAGGGAAAAATAGACTGTCCAATTCTGTATGCTATTCAGGTTGGGAAAGACGTCCAGGTGACAACAATTCTTAATGTGAATAACTCCAGGAATGCTGGGTAGAATATGTAATTGTTTTGATATAGACTACTTGTTGCATTTCATTGTACTTATACAAATCTGGTTACAATTTATTGTAAATTTCTTTCAAGGTTGTATTCATTCTGGCCTTTTTATAGAACCTTTCAGGTAATCCGATGGATCAAGAGGCCTGCAAACTCATACAATCGATACTCACGAAAAACACTCAAATGAATACATTAATACTAAAGGGTAGATAAACTGTTTTTTTGTTTGTTTCATATTTCAGTCAGTAAAATTGCAGACAATCTTCGCAACATGAAATGATAAACTATGACGAAATTAGCGTTAACTGCTGATATGCGTTGGAGAGTCAAGGTGATACGAAGAGGTCACTACTTGTAATATGATAATTGTTTTTACTAGCTCTTGCCAGACATCTTCAGAATTCGGTTTGCATGGGTTTGATTGGCTTCAGGTTTAGCATCAATTGGAGAACCCCTGAAAAGCAGGGATTACTGGAACCTGTTTCGTCTAAGTTTGGAAATCTTCGGCAGTACGCACGCGTCAGGATTCGAGTCGAGGATCTTTTGGCTACAAGGAAAGCTAACAGACCACTCAGCCACTGGGACCCGACTCAATGGTCAGCTCATGAATTCCAGATTCTACCAATTCATGATATATTTAGTGAAACTGCCAGCTAATGTCAAAGGGGAGCAACTGTTCTCTTACTTGACTTGGTAGGACCCGCTGGTTACGACTTTTCCCTACAACTTCAGGTAGCTTCCTGTGCACAGACAGTGTCTAGTGAGCATCAGATTAACTTTCAAGTGCTTGTTTTCAGGGATTTAAAACACCTGTCCAGTACTTCTGGGTTTCCAGTGCTTCTCTAACTGATATCAGCTCATGAAAAAATTTGATGGAAATGCTTGTTTCTATGGTTATGTAGCAATTTTCTGCATGTGTATCTTCATTGTTCATCCCGCTCACTTGCAAAATAAAGCTTAAAATGACAACGAAACATATTACGAAAATGCCACAGAAGAGATACAAACGTTAGCGATAATTCATGTGTGTTTCGACAAATACAAAATGGTACCTACAATTTTATGCAGAACTAGATCATATCGGTCTAATCAGCAACGATATGGACGAAAAATGTAACCAAATACGCCACCAGCTTTTTCAAGACGATTGGAGACACACTATAGTAAACCAAATACTCAGGGACGAGGAGGGTGGTAAAAAACTGAAAAATTGTTTTTGAAGAGTCACGCGACTTGTCCAAAAAGACAAGAACAAGGACCGAGTTATTACGCAAGGAATACATCTTGATGAGTGCAACATGAATGTCTGAAGCTCACAAATTTGAAAAATCACATTATGTAAGCTGAGCTTAGCAGAAAAGAAATAATATAAGTTCAATACATTAAGCTTGATAATACAACCTACAAAGTAAACTCCAAAAATTGAAAGCAATTACTGTTTTAGACAAAGCATCAGTTCTATTCATGTTTATCTGCATAGGTGTCAATTAGCCATTAGTCTCCACATGGCATCCGGGGAGCTCTGATGTCACAAGTTCATGGATTTTGAATAAAGAAGATACCAAAAATACATATATATATATATTAAGATATTATATCCAGTGAGGGAATTAGATCAAAAGTTTGGCCACATGAAATAAAAATAGTATAAAAACCAATTAAAATATTTGTGATTATAATCACAGTTAAATATCAAGTGGCAAAACAATTAATGTCATATATGGAATAATTTATAAAATGTGTAGATGCTGGAAAGGGGTGTGTAATTATACGATTAGTAGACGAATATGAAATGTTACATAACATGGTGTGAAGTTAGATAAGATAGAATTCAAAATTGTTAAAACATTTTTGGATTTAGAATGATAAGTGGGACAAGCGGAAACAATTCAGAGTGAGAATAGTAATAATAATAACAATAATCGTAGTAATGATGGAAAGGTGCATAGATTAACTAAATAAACAAAATAAATAAGTAAATGTCTATCCCTCTACGACCAAGGCAGAATAAGGGAATGTAGATGCTTATTTTGTGCACAAAGGTCTGGCTTGAACTTATGAATTGCCAAGGCCTCAGCTGTCTTTAGAAGTCTGTAACGAAGAAAACGCTGCAAGTTAGCATGGATTCAGTAGATGATTTTAAAATCATGGCCAGGGTCGACAGAGTGACAGAAGTCGATCAGGTGTTCCATAATAGAGCTTCGCACACTTCCTTTCTCCCTTGTGAAACCATGAAGCTGGAGTATGTTCTCGTATCCGAGTGGAAAACGTCCTCTGACTACGGCCAATGTACCTTGCTTCACATGAGCAGGTGAACTGATAGATCAACATGCAGGCGGCCAGACGAGGAAGCTTTTCTTTTACAGAGATGGAGAACAACTTGAAGCTGGTGAATGTCACTTTTAATTTTGCTACAAAGAAGGTCTTACTGACTGCTCTAGAGAGACGGTTTTTGAGCATATCTGAAGCTTGATCACCTTTGAATTCTGAGTTCATGAATAAGGTTTTCTTCGGAACTGAGTCGGTAACCAGTTGAGACTACTTATCTTTCATGTTGCTGTCAATAAATCGGTTCGGGTAACCGTTTTCTGCGAGTGTGGCTTTTAGGAAGTCAAGTTCTGATTCAACGCAATCAGAACTACAAATGTTTCTTATCCTAAAGCGGAGTGAATGAATTAGATTCCTTTTCTTGGAGATAGGCACCCAGCTATAAAAAATAAGTTAGTTGTCCATTCCATGTGACTTTCCGGTGGATGAATCTTTTGAGAGATCCGTCGTTACATCTGCTAAGGCACACATCAAGAAACGGAATGCCTAGTTCAGATTCCTTTTCTATGGTGAATTGTAAAGAAGGATGGGAGTTGTTGAAAGCAAACAAGACATTTTTAGAATTACGTTATTATCGCAGATAACAAAAGTATCGTCTACGTATCTTTTATAAATGTCGGAATGATCGATGGTTTGACTAAGTTGGGAGTTTTTGAGCCTTGCCATAAAACAATCAGACAGCAAAGGACCCAATGGTGATCCCATCGCAATGCCATCTCTCTGTCTAAAAATCTCATTATTGAAGGTGAACTCAACATTCAACGTGCATCTCAATAAAAGTTCGGAAACCCTATTTCTAAACTATGCCTATCAATATAATATATATAACAAACAGCTTCCATAAGAGGTATATTGGTAAATAGCGAAGTCACATCTAGTGAGAACATGACTTTGTCTGAGACATTAAAATCTTTAGCACTCTCAATAAATTTAAATGTATCATCAATGGAAAACCTAGACACTTGCCTTCTAACTGGTTCCAGTATTTCAGCTAGACATTAAACAATTCCGTGATAAGAAAGTATCACTGACAAGTTGAAAGTTCAAGGGTACATAAAAAGAATCGGGATGTGCATATGGACAGGGTTATAAAAAATATTCATTTTTAGCCAAGGTTTGTAGGAAGACTACTAAATATACTACACATTTAAACAGCTGAATTCATCCTGAAATTACTACTGATTATAATGTCTGGATTGACAGTGAAGGTGCTAGAATCAAAATTATTCATCTCAAGCAGTGCAACACAACCAAAAACTGCATTTTCTTAGAAGGGAAAGGTTGATAAGCATTCGTGTGAGAACGAACCAATCAAGAACCTATCACTGTACAAATATTCCGAAGGAAATGGAGATGGAACGTAGACACTCGGAAGAGACTGTTATGTGACAGTGCACACCAGGCCATCGCTCGATTGGAACTCAAAAGGGAAGCGATGAGTTGGGTATGGTTTGGGCAGGGGGTGACATAGAAGAGATCATGTGAGGAGTAGATGGAAGGTTAAGGTCAATAGTGGGGTCAGCTAAAGAGCAGTGCAGAGGATAGCATGAAATGGAGAGGTTCTGCTGAAGCTCAGTGTTCTACTTGGAACCCAAGTGAATAAGAGTAATATTAACTATGATTGTGATGCTTTAGCTGTGACGTAATTTGGTAGCTGGAGAAGTTCAATTTCATCAGCATTTTCTCCGGATCATATTTTCAAAACATAAAAATTAAAGAATCTATATTTTTTCATTTATTACAGATGCAAAAATAAATGATGACGGTGCAGTTGCGATTGCTAATGGGTTAAGAGTAAGTTAATTGTAATAATCGTTTATTGATCGGAAAAATAATATTGAATTCGATTTGTAGTGGATAAACAAGATAATTCATCCTGATGTTCATCTGTTAAATGTTGAAACTACTCTTTTTAGTTCCCCAATGATAGCAATTATTCGAGCAGAATTCAATCTAATTGTGTGTTAACATATCGGCTCCAAATGTATACGCTTCATAGATGTTTTAGGGTTAACTTGATAGCACCCACTTGATCTTGAGTAGCAGCGGAGTTTAGGACGTAAGTTCCATTCTATCTGGGTATTACCAACTGAATACTGACCTGAGTACTCTGTAAGTGATGGTGTCCCCATGAAACTGGAACCCAGAGCCTGTAATTCCAAACGCTGAAGCGTTTCAGAAGTAGCACCAGTGCTCATCGAGGATGCATGCACATCAGAAATGAAACGTGTCTTCTGGAATCCGCTGCCAGTCACTACCAACTAAACGGCGTCATGTTAATCACATTGTTATTATTTCCTTTAATTCCTAGAGGAACATAGAGCTTCAGCCGCGTGTCTTCATTGCGTTCGGTTCTCTGCTAGAGTTGTCACCTGGCTTCAAGTCTGCTCACATGCTTTCATCTCCTCCTAACATGACCTCCTCCAAGTCCCCCTTGGACCATCAACTCGCCGCTTCCCATTCGGGTTCCACTCTAGGGCTTGTCTAATGATACCACTTGATGGTTTGTTTCCTCAGAGTATGGCCAATTCATCTCTATGTCTTCCTGCTTATTTGTTGCACAATCGGTTCCTGGTTGGTTTGCCCCCTGAGTTGGTTCACTCATTGCCAGAGATCCCTGTTGCTGATCTTTTCTGGCCGGCCATCTGATCTTGAGTATTGAGCGAAGACAACTGTTAATGAAGGTCTGTAGTTTGTTTGAGGTGCTCTTTATGACGCGCTGGCCAAGTTTCTGATCCGTATAGTAGCACTGACTGACTTCACATTGGAGTTAACAATGTTAATCACATGGCATTGTCTAAAGCTGATGTGTCAACGGGGATTTAGCACTTCGGTTCAGTAAAGTCAGTCGATGGAAAATTTAAAACAATTTCAATGAATAACAATTGATACTCGTGTTACACAACAGTTGGCTGTCGTGGCCCAGCAACCTATCGATAACTCTTAAGCGTCTGAAAGAATGGAAATTAAGGAAATCGAGAAGATATCCCCTGTCATATCATTTCAAGAGAAACTTATGTTTAGAATTAATTGAGTAGAAAATAGTTTAAAAATGCTTAGTCAGACAATCGGAAGTAATTTTAGCCAAACGTTTCCAAAAGCTTGAAAAGCTGTTCTTACAGCACCCATTTTATTTTTTACCTGAGAGAGATTGTTTGAGAAATTCCTCGTCACCTATCTAATTACAATATTTATAATTATTTGGATGCTTCAACTAACTTTGTAATTGGTTGGAGGATTTCATCATGAGCTGACATCAGTTATAGAATCATTGGAAAACCTGGTAGTAGTGTGCGTCGGTGGCGTAGCGGTTAGGACGCTCGCCGACCATGCACATGGTCCGGGGTTCGAACCCCGGTGGACGCACTCCTTTATCTCGCTAAGCCAAAAGTAATGCTGTTGAAGAGGAAAGGTTGGGCATGATGCTAGCAACCCCATCCTGTAAAATAAACACTGCCACAGAAACTTCAAGCCACTAGCTTGAAGCCCTATGTTCCACTGGGAACGTGAAGGATAAAAAAAACGTGGATCTTGAAAATTGATCTTATGCTCACCAGCGACTGGCCGTATTCAGTCAGTTAACCTGGGATTCTAGTGGGAAGCCGTGACCAGTAGGGTACAACAGGTGAAAGCTTAGACAGTAACTCATTGAAAAAGACATTTCGACGTGGTCGGGCTATGTCATGAATTGGCAGAAGTTAAAATTCGTGGACTGGTTGGTCATTGGAGCGGGTCCCAGTGGCTTCATGGTCTACGAGCTAGCTCGCTTAGCTTGTAACCAGAAAGTCGTGGGTTCGAACCCTGTCGGCGGGTAGGTGCTGATGAAGAATCACAAACTAGGCTGACGAAACAGCTGTCCATTACTACTTGTAGGTTTTTCAATGGTTCTCTAACTGATGTCAGCTCATAATGAAACCCTCCAATCAATCAAACACAATTCTTACAAAAATCAATACTTGAATAACTTTGTAGTTATTATCCCACTGTAAATCATTGATCTGAAATTTGCATATCATCTATTGATTTGATCCTTATTATTTGTCTTTCTTCCTGTTTAATCTCTAATTTTAATTTTTTTAGGTTTTTACTGTGTGGTTGTGCGATGATATTGACAGCGTATTGTTTAAAGACTGTGATTCTGTTTGAGTAAATGAAGGATATTCTAACCTTGGACTGTCAGCTGGAATTCTTTGGTGTGTTATTCTTGTGGACAGAGTTTCTGATCCCACCTTGTTGGGAATTATCCACTTGATTCTAAGTACTTGTTTTGTACTTCTACTGGACTATGTAGCTGCCCAACAGCAGCACTGTTGAAAACTGCAAAATTACCGAATATTAATCATCTTTTTCCTGTATTTGAAGCTTTTCGTGACTGCTAGTATCTCAAAGAAGTTTTATCTACTGTAGGTTAGAACGCAGAGCTTGGTTCACTGTATTCAGACTATATAGACCTGGTTTAGATGGCTATACTGGATTCCTTACGCTGAGAAGTGTTATATGTTGAAAAGCCTGAAACGTCGGGCTGCATAAATAAGCTCTGAATTCAGGTCGAGAGCCTTCTAAGACTCCTGTAATCTATATTCACACCTCCTAACTTCCATTTCAAGTTGAAAATTATTATTTCAATTTTGTTTCCATGCTCATTTTTACATACTTGTAATCCGTTCGAATCCTGTGTAATTTTGTTTCTAAGCCTCTTGTAAATCATATCTAGTTGAAAATAATTGTCACCTTTTATTCGCCTTCGTAATTACATGGAATCAAATAAAACAAGTTGTATCTATGTAAATTTATGTATTTAAATGTGATTGTACAGCTTTTGAAAATGAAATCACCGAAAAGACAATTATCTTTGCTGAATTTCGTGTTCTCTTCTTTCTAGTGTCCTAATGAATTATATATATGTTTATATACATAGAATGCGTCGGTGGCATGGCGGTGGAATGCTCGCCAACTGCGCCTCATGTGGTCGCGGGTTCGGTCCCCGGCCACCGACGCATTCCTTAACCTCGTTAGACCAGTAATATACATGGAAAAATGGGAGGGTTGGGTTGCCTGTGGCTTGAAGCACTATGTCCCACTGGGAACGTGAAGGAATAAAAAGAAATAAACCTATAATATTCTAGAGTAGTAGTCAATAACAATATTAGTGTTTTTAAATAATATAGATTTGTTAAGTAAGATCAATGGAATTAGAGTTCATTAAAGATGCATAAATAATAATAATAAAGATATAATAGCAAATAGAATATCAACTAGAATTAAGGAAATTATTACAAAAAATTAAGGATCATTCAAACCTAGATGGCCAAGGTATGGATAATGTCTGAACTAGCTTCTTTTGGACACATAAATTAAGCTTCTCAATGTGGATCCCAACAGCCTCAGCAATATGTAGTAAACGAACTCTTAAGGTAAAGTTAAAATTTGTTGGTATGTGGTAGATGACTTTGAAAGCCTCATTGAAATTTATCTTGTGTTTTTATCCACAAGATGAGATAGAAGAAAACTATGAACGGATATTGTTTGTCATTTAATTGACCATCATGGAGGAGTATGTTCGGAAATCCGAAGAGAAACACGCCTAATTGTACGACTTATGTAACTGGCTCCACGGGAGCAGTTAAATTGGTAAATGCACATAGAAGAGGCGACATTAAGCAGTTTTTCTTTAACTACCGAACTCAAAATAGAGGTGGTTTTGAAGATAAAGGGTAATTGATTTGCAGTTAGTGCTCTTTCCACCGCTGTATTTCTTAGGTGTTGTGTTAATATCTCGCTGATGTTAACTCCGAGGAACTGAATTTGTAAGAATGGGATGCCTTGATTTTTGATTTATATTCTTATCAATGAAGTCTTCTGGATAACAGTTTTCACTCGGCAAGTGTTTAATAATAGTAAGTTCTTCACTAAATACATTCATCAGAGTATATTTCTTTTGCTCTATGGACCAAACACTTTATTAGATTGCGTTTGTATTTCAAGGGCACGAAGCTGAAAAAATGAGTATGCTGACAGTCAGTTGATGTAGGTTTTCTATATACACTTCTTCTTATTGTGCCATCCTCTTTTCTCATCATAAGGAGGTCTAAAAATGAAATACTAGAGTCTTTTTCTCTCTCGATAGTAAAATTTATTGCAGGATGAACATCGTTAAATTTGTCAACAAGGATGTTCTTTGCTTTCTCCTCATTTTTCATAATCAAAAATGTATGATTCATGTACCAAGCCGGATTTATAAATTCGATGCGATTTTTTAGGAAAATCTGACGCGGTTTGTTAGCTGGTGACTATCAGTGGAATCTCCTGGGATGCACATTTCCTCCTATTTGTGACTCGTCGACCGGATATACCTGCATTCCACATTGAGTGATGATGTTCCCACGGGGGCTCAAACCCAGTTTCAAACGCCAAGGCCTTATTCACTAGACCACTTGTTCCACGAGAGCCACCTCTTATGCAGCGGGTCAGATAAATTATGTAAATAAAACAAAAAATACATGAGGTTTTGTTATACTGTTTTATAAAGCATTGGATGTATGAACTTTTAAATTCTTTTTTTTTCAGAGTTATATAGATTTTCACGATAACATTTTGATTACCTTTCATATATTGATAGGTGAATACACGCTTAACAAAACTTGATCTTTCAAAAAACAACATCATGTCAGATGGAGCTAGTGGATTGGCTAAAGCATTAAGTGAGTTTGTAAATAAAAATTAAAGCAATTCTGAATTTTTACACACATTGTAGCTAACAGTATATGCTTGAAATGGCTAAGTCTACACTGGAATCATATACGTGCACAAGGAGCTTCTGAATTCGGTAATACATTGGAGGTGAGTTGAGTGAATACAGTTAGTGCTGAGTAATGTCTGTATTCCCCCTGTTAATATACTGTAATGTAGCGATATTTGTTTTACAAAACTGGTGTCTACTAGATTTCAAAAAATTTGGAAGGGGAATTATATGACAGTAGTTTCTAATCACTGAAAATACTCATTGAGTCGTGAAGAAAATAAAAGACAATTCAGTGAAGAAAATTTTCTATATCGACGAAATCATCTTCGGAAGCTGTACAGTCATATTTATACTTACCAAAAACGTATAGTAGTCTATTACTGAGTAATGAGGAGGTGACATAATTGATATAATTACTCAGAAGTGGCTTTTGAAGTAGAAATAAAAGTTATAAATTACGTAATACTCAGCGGCACAAAGGAAGAGAGAGTTAAAAATTTGAAAAAGTTAAAATTGTTATTGAGTAAGAAGAAAGGCAGTTGAGTGTCAATTTAACAAATGTGAAGGGGGTGAGAAAACGTGAGAGTGATAATAGTGAATTGGCTACTAAAGCAAAAGCAAATTAATCATTAAAAATGAAAAATTTCATAGGGAGCAACTAATGAAGAGGTTAAGACCATGGTAGAATAAGAGACTGGACAACCGTTTTCTGTATACAGAAAGAGTTGGGGGTGATATTGACGAACTTCCAGTACCCCAACCATACACAGGTGCTGAAACCTGACACCCTTTACACCATTTGGCCTCACCTTATAGATAATCTTGTAAGATGACTTTAGTGGAGCTGCGTGGCTTGAGTTCTTCAAGTGTTCGAGAACTGGTCTATTAACTGTCTTGTATTGTCCTTTTGCTAGCCATACCGGATGATGTTCAGAGATGTTTAGAAAACAGAAAGATTGAGCGAAGAAATATTTACTTTTCAATTAGATCCTCATCTCTGGCTCTACTCTAATATACATATATAGCATTTTTATTACAACACACAACATTTTACCAAACAAGTGGCGATATGTTTGTTAACAATAGTTAGTCAGTGTCAAAATTTCAATAGGTTGATAATTAACGCAGAAAATCAATACACATTTAAAAGGTAGAAATGGATAGAATAAATTAATTTTACAAGGATAACACGTAATTAAAGATGAATTGGTCAAAATAAATAGAAATAAAATAATTTGGACAGTTATAATTTTTATAGTTTTTAAAGGTTTAGGGGGAGGGGGGCGACGTAGTCCTGTTTATGCATTCTTGTAACGATGGCCACGGTAAAGAAAGTGGCTGTACAAATTTCTTCCAAACACACAGGTTTGGCTTTTTCAGGTGAATTCCTATTGCTTCTGCTGTATGTAGAAGATGAACTCGTAAAGCAAAATTAAGATTAGTAGGAATGCGATAAATAATTTTAAATGTGGTATTAACGTCAACCTTATGCTCACTATCTACAAGGTGGGCTAAAATAGAGCTAAGATTATATCTTGTTTGTCCCTTGCTTAATTATGTCGGAAATACGATGATGAACATGCCTAATTGTACGCCCAATATAGCTGGCTCCGCAGCTGCAGTCAAACTGGTAGATACACAAAGAAGAGGCAAATTCAGGTAGTTTATCCTTATTTATCGAACATAGAACAGGGGTGGTTGTGAAGAGACAACGTACCTATGTTGCATAATAAGCTCATTTAACTGCATTCTTCAGGCACTGTGTTATTAATTCGCTGATGTTGTCACCGAGGAACTGCAATTTTATGAACAATGGTTTCTTCGGAACTGTTGGCATACTGACTCTCCTTGGTGCTGAATTCATATTTTTCTCAATGAATTTATCTGGATAAACATTTTTTCTAATTCATTCTCTAATAATCTTAAGCTTCTCATTGAGGCAGTCGTCTGAACAGATTATCCTAGCTCTGTGAACCAGACACTTTACCAGGTTACGTTTATATTTCAAAGGTACAAAACTCAAAAAGTGAGTGTAGTGACCTGTTGTTGTAGGTTTCCTATACACACTCCTTCTTAGTGTGCCATCTTCTTTCCTTGCCGTGAAGACGTCTAGGAATGAGATACTGTCATTATTTTCTTTCTCTATGGTAAAGTTTATTGCTGAATGTGCATCATTAAACTTGTCAAGGATGTTCATTGCATCATTCTCGTTTTTCATCACCAGAAATGTATCATCCATATATCGACAGTAGAAATCCATGTCATTAATTACTCCTTTTAGTGCTCCATTCTCTAATTTAGCGAGGAAAAAGTCAGCTAGGATTGGAAAGTGTACGCTTTGTGCGGCCAATATAACTGCTAACCTTATCAAATTTCTAACGCTTTCTTCCTTTGTGCCGTTGAGTACTACGTAATTTGCAGCTTTTATTTTTTACTTCCAAAGCCACTTCCGAGTAATTATATCAATTATGTCACCCCATACCACTCACTAATAGAATGCTGTACATATTTGGTAAATACAACTGTACAGCCTCTGAAGATGATTTCTTCAATAAAGAAAATTTTCTTCGCTGAATTGTCTTTTATTTTCTTCATGACAGTAGTTTCTCTTGTAGAAACACCTAGTTTTCTTTATATTAGTATACGTAACCTTTCCATATTTTAATCCGTGTTCCTAGGAATCTCCTAAAAGTTTCCTCATTAAAATTTAAAAAAATATATAACATCATAATGATAACCCGAAGTTTTGACAATATTTGTGTCAAACGGACACTACTTCTCGAGTACTTTTGAGATATGCTTAATTTTGTATCACAAGTTGAAGATGTATAGAAGAGCACGGAACAACTATCTACTGTAACCACCAAAACTGACTTGCTGTGATCTGAACTCAAAAAACACCGATCATTGCGTTCAACTCTATAGCTGATCAAAACTTCCTTGAGCTATACATAGTCACAAAAGTCCCCAACCACAGTGAAAATAAGGTTATTCGCGATAAAATCTTTGGAACATTGCACGCCAGGTTAGCCTCTGAATGGAAAGTGAATGGGAAATGATAAGTTGTGCGTGTGTCTGAAGGTGACATATATGAGATGGTGTGAGGAGGAGGAGATGAAAGATTAAAGGCAATCGTGGGGGCACTTTCGATTGGATACAAGGTAGTAACTAGTGCCATGTGTCTAGTCCTTTCTTTGGTGTAGAATGAATTCTATCAGTCAAGTTTGCAATGTGGCTACCATGTTAGGTCGCTTGCCACTACGGTGCACTTCAAACTGTTGATATTATATTTGGTTGGAGGCAATAGGCAGGAAGCCTTGATCTTAGGTTTCGTGCTTGTTGACATTCACCAGACACCAAGGCGTATCTGTGGTCACCTTGAAGGAATTCATGTCCCTCCTGAGATTCGAACCTGAGTCATCCAGTGAGTGTTGCCATCAGAGATATTACCATTCAGCAGTTTGAGTTCGCGACTGGCCCCCTTCCGGGTTGTATTGGGTACTATGATTGGACATTGGTGAGTAACTAGTATCGTATGTCCTTTATTTGGTGTAGGTTGAATTCTGTCGGTGGTAACGTCTCTGACTGAAGCTCTAGGTGACCCCAGTTCAAATCTTAGGAGGGACATGGCTTCCTCCGTGGTTGCTGATACACTTTACTGGCTGGTGAGTGCCAACTAGCACGGAACCTAGGTCAAGTAAGGCTTCGTGCCGGTTGCCTCCAACCATCTAATTATCAATCGTGAGGTCATCTAAAAAGGTCTGTAGAGAACAGTAAAAAGTGGAAATGAGTTGTTCAAGCCCTATGTTATACTCTTAACCCGTGGAAATAATAATAATATATTAAAATATTCTATTACATCTGTCAAGTAGGACATTGCAAATTGGTTTTATTGCAAGTGAAACAATTAAAACTAACGCGAACAGGCAGAGTGAGTTAAAAGCAAATAATTTAATGTATCTTCTAAAGTTTGACTGTCGGGGTTTGACTGATTGAAAGGTACATTTTATCACAAGGAACCATTGAAAACCGAGAAGCGCAGAACAGCTGTCTTGACTTTATTCGAACCTCTCCAAAAATCAACACTGATGACCTCATTAGAGATAGAATGAAGATCTTTCGCGTTACATGATCAGCCTACTGATGATTCATTTACCAGCGTGGAATCCCATGAATCCATGAATAATAACTTCTGTCAACTAGTGCCGTTGCCAACCAGTGCCATGGGGCGTCTTTTGACAAACATTTCTCGACATGTGGTTACACTCAGAAGTCATGAAATTAAGTCAGTCTTCCTAAAACCATCTTGAAGTAATATCCCTCATTATTTGTGCTGCATCAATCATACTTTGCTACATGAAATGAGTGTTACTCTCTGATTGTTTACGTCTTGTGTTATTAATCTATTTCACTTAAAGTTTAACACTTCAATTCAATATCTGGATTTATCATGGAATGGATTCAATGGCAGAAGTTTGGAGAAACTTGGTAGAGGTTTAAAACGAAATTGTCATTTAGAAGAATTAAATCTCAAATACAATCGTATTGATTTGAAAGGTGTTATTGGATTTGCTGACTGTCTGTATACAAATAAAACGCTGAAACGATTACTGGTAAGCCTGTCATGAAAAAAAATTGAATGTTTTCATAAAAAGATGGTTGAAAAGAAATTTGTATTGCTCACTGAGCGTAAGACTTACTTTTATTTATTTATTTTTTATTCCTTTGCATTCCTGGTGGAACACAGGGCAGCTTCAAGCATGAGGCTTGACGTTTTTGTAGCAGTGGTTTTTACTTTTACCGGATGGAGTTGCTAGTCTTATGTTTAACCTTCCCTCTTTACCAGTCTTGTCACTGGTTTAGGGAGGTAAGAGATTGTGTCGGTCGGGGATCGAACCCCAAACAACCTGCGTGGTTGGCGAACATTCTACCGCTGTAACACCGACGCGTTTTTGAAAAACAGTTACTTAACGAAAGCTGATGACAGACAATAGCTATGGAAGTAGCGTTTTCCTGTACTATTCCACTGAGTTCTGAGGAGAACATATAGCTTCAACAATGCATCTCTAATCTGTGTTGTTCTGTGTGGCCCTCTTTATCTGGCTGCATGATTTCGTACACAGTCTCTTCTATGCCACCCTCGGACTGACACCCAACTCGTTCTTTCCCATTCGGATTCTAACCATAAACATATAACTGACTTCTGCGTGCATAATAAGTGATCGAAAATGGTCACCCACAGAAATGTGTACACCAGAAGTTACACCCCTTGTCTGTATATCTACTAATTAATATAACAATCGAGTGCATTTGAAATTTAGAAAAATTTGGAAAGTGAAACAGTTAGAATCTTGGAGCAGAAATTTTCGACAGAGATGTAAGATGATATCACTGTGCGAATAGTCCTCAGAAGCGTGTCGTGTACGTAAACCATTGGGCTATCCAGGTCATTATAATGTGTCAAATATACTTAATTTTATTTTGTTTCAACCACCTTGTTGCATTTCTAAAGAACAGTCTGTACTTACCTGAGTTTTTGAATTGCTGGGTATATTTTGAATAATTTAATAATTCCCATTTTAGCATTAAGAACACAACATTCAGCGAAGAGACTCTTCTCAACAACGAATTTATTATCAAGCTGTACAATTGAATATCTACATGGGTTTTAAAAAAATTATGTCCAGTGAGGTCAAAGGTGTGAACACATGAAACAATAATAGTAGTAGTATGAAATGCAATTAAAATATTTGTGATTATAATCATAGTTTAATGTCAAGTAGAAAAACAAGTAATGTCATATATAGAATAATGCATAAGGTGTATAGATTTTGGAAAGGGGTGCATAATTGTAGGACTAGTAGACGAATATAAAATGTTACATAACATGGTGTGAAATTTGATAAGATAGAATTCAATATTGTAAAAATAAAAATGTAAAAATTAATAATTTTGTGTTTAAAATGACAAGTGGGTCAAGTGGAAAAGATTCAGAGTGAAAATAATAATAATAATCGTAGTAATAAGGGAAAAGTACATAGAATAACTAAATAAATATTAATATTATGAATAAGAATATGTACTCTTTTGACGTAAACTCGTTATTCACTAATGTGCCTTTGCTCAAAACAGTTGACATTTTGTGTGATAATATTTCCACAAACAATTTTTTCATTTCAATTTCGCTGAGATTTTACAAATATAATTTTATAAATTTTTTCATCCCGTTCCCTATATCTTATTTAAGGGATTTATTACTCCTATGTACTAACAATGTTAGGTTTACATTTGAAGGCGACTGTTTCCGTCAGGTTGATAGTGTTGCTATGGGAAGTCCGTTAGGGCCCCTTTTAGCAGATATTTATATGTCGTACATTGAGAATTTATCGGAGGATTTAATCAAAAATGTGCAACTTTATAGAAGGTATGTAGATGATATTGTAATCATAAGTGATAAACGCCTTGTTCTGCCACCTCAATTTTAAATCAAATGAATGATGTTCAGAATAGCATATCACTTACATCTGTAGAAGAGGAAGATAATTGTTTATCTTTCCTAGACATTTTGCTTAGTTGACGGCTTGATGGGTCAATAAAAAGATCTATTTATAGAAAACCTACCTGGACAGGACAGTATCTTAATTATCACAGTTTCTGTCCTGTTCGGTACAAAAGAGCCTTAGTGAGTGAGGTGCCTCTTCAGTAGAATCCAACGAATATGCACTGAAGACACACACACTTGATGAAGAAGAAAGAAAGTTGACACAAACTCTGGTTGATAACAATTATCCAGACAAGTTCATCAGGAGATATAAAGTAGTCAGCAGAACACCAAGACCCACTCTGCAACTCGCCCCTAAGAAAGACGTGTACATCAAGCTACTCTTTATGGGGCATCATAACAGCTTGATAGCTAGACAAAGACTGAACGCTGCTGTGGTTGAAAAGATTTTTATGCAGCTAATATCATAATAATTGAGAATGTGAAGCCAATGTATCCATCCATCTAAGCTCTTCGAACATGCGAAAAATGACGTCACATCCTCTCACTGTATTTACCAATTTGAATGTACATGTGGACACACACACATACATAGGGAGGACTCATCGATCTCTGCAAGTAAGGGCTGGCTTCAGAGCATATTTCTAAATGGCTCCAGAAACAAATGGAATCTTCAGAACCCATTAATGGTGAGAACAGGAGACCTAGCTCTTCTATTGAGAAACATATTATAGAGACAGGACATAAAATTGACGTTAACAGATCTTTTAAACCTATCTATAAAATGTGTTTGGGGCGTATCCTAAAGTTTGTGGAAGCCTTAGCAATTAGAAAGTTTAAGCCACCTTTATGCGTTCAAAGCAACAATTCGTCGTCACATTAAACCTTCCTTGGTAAATTTTGTTTTGATACCGTAGCAGATGTACCTCAGCTATTTGTTTTGGTGGTCTTCATTGTTATTTTGACCTTCAATATGTCCTTTTAACTTGACCTAAGTCTATTTCCTCACCTCTTACCTCTTTATTAATTTCATATATATTCCTATGACAAGTCCGTGTGTGATCAGATTGTTCGAAATGTGTTGCACAAATACAGCATTACATGATTCAGACAAATTACGTCTTCTTATTGCTTTATCTATACTAAATAAACAAAATAAATAAATGTCTATCCCTCTACGGCCAAGGCAGAAGTAGGTAGGGATTGTACATACTTCTTTTGTACACAAAGGTCTGGCTTAAAGTCATGAATTGCCAAGGCCTCAGCTGTCTTAAAAAACCATATGTGTATATACGATTGTACAGCTTGATAATAAATTCGTTGAAAAGAGTCTCTTCGCTGAATATTTTGAATGGATTAGACTGTCAAGTATTGGAATATTTTTCAGACTGAAGAATATTCCGTTGAAGGATACACTATAGATTGTTATTTTATTAGCCCACTGACGTACATATGCACTAAAATAAAACGACAGTATCTGTAAGAACAAACACTTTTATCACAAGATTGATTCAATAGCTAGTAGATTAGTTTTTGTTATTAGGTGATTTCAGACAATCGTCAGGAAGCCTTCGACCTGGTATTCGTGCTAGTTGGCACTCACCAGATAACAAGGCGTCTCAGCCAACATGGAGGAACTCATGTCTCCTTTCAAATTCGAACTCTTATCACTCAGGATTGCAGTCAGAGATGTTGAATTTGAGGTATTTGGGCTAGCAGCTGGCCTCTCGTAGAACTGTATTTGATATTTTTGATTGAACACTAGTCAGTAACTAATGCAATGCTTCCAGTCCTTTGTTTGGTGCAGACTGAATCCTCACCTTGCTGACAAGTGCGACAAAGTACGAACTTAGGTTCATGGTTTCCTTCCGACTACCTCCAACCATCTTTTTTTTATTACTTTATGTTCCCAGTGGAACATAGGGCTTCAAGCTAGAGGCTTGAAGTTTCAGCATCAGTGGTGTTTATTCTTTTAACGGGATGGAGTTGCTAGCCTCATGCCCAACCTTCCCTCTTTACCAGTCTTATTACTGGCTTACCGATGCAAACGAGCGACTTGTCGGTTGACGATAGAACGCTGGACCACATGAGGCGTGGTCGGCGAGCATTCTACCCCTGTGTCACCGACAACCATCTAGTAACAATAATTCAGAATGCACCGTGATGGCGAACAACCTAACAAACTGGTGACATCGCAGACATGACTGGTTGAATTGAGTCTGCAGCGAACAAATGACTAGACGCATTACACCAGATGCTAAATAGTGTCCATTCGAAGTTTCTCTGTGAATCTACAAAATGTATAGAAATGCAATAAGTTAGTTGGGTAGATTTTATACTACTTTACGCATGTAGAGCCTGTTCAGTTTCAACTTTACTGTTATTATATTGAAACGGCCTAACACAATTCTGGTCGGAGACTCTATGATCCAGAATAGCTTTAGTGAATGTAAGTTATCAAATCTACTTAACAAATGATTATTTTAATGAAAAATTAAACCCACTGATCGATTTCTTATTCTCTTTGTTTTAATATTTTTTAAAATTGTTTTAGATTGGTCTAAATCCGCTAACAATAGCCGGTATTCATGAATTAGTTGATGTTATTGAAAAGTCTTCAACATGTGTCCTTGAAGAATTAGACTTAGAAGTAAGATGGATATGTTCAATGTTTTGCTAATAGAGTACACATCACGGACACATTACTTCTGCTTACTGTCTAATCAAAAGTTTTATAGCTCTTTGCCTTTCTAATACTTAGTATAATTTCTTCTACTGATGAAACCTAATTCAGATAAAAATACTACCGTTTGGTGCATAGTCATGTTCAACTGTGTGAAGCATAACTGTCACAAATCACTGTCTTAGAATAATGAAGTTAATAGGGAATATAAATCATCAGTAGTACTTCCATACAAGGAAGGAACCTCGGAAACCTTACGCAGAATTCTTAACAAGGCAGGAATAAAAACGGCATTCAAACCACCCACAAACTCAATTAGAAACAAGCTTTGTCGGTTAAAGGAACAATCCTGTGGAGCCTTTAAAACAAAACAATTTAGTTTATCTAATACCCTGCGTGCAATGATTGTCAGTGGGCTCAAATACATAGGTCAAAGTAGTAGAACGGGTGAGTCAGTTAGACAAGCCGAGCATAAAAACCTAGCAAAATCTAGATTAGTTGACCCAAATAAGATAAGAAATCTAGAGAATAGTTCAGCTATACCATTCACTACATGCAGTTACACACAACCATACAATAGGATGGATGGGATAGGATGACAGTTTTAAAATCTAATGTCACAGTAGGGTGGAGGGAGAGATTGATAACGGAAGCATTGTTTATCGAATTAACTGCAAATACGTTTAATAGGAATGATACAGCACCTGTCCCATATATCCGGAAAATTCTACTAGCCCTACGACAAATAAGAGAACACAAAGAAAACTATGAAACTCAAGTTTCAGAGTCATGTGATTATAATTGATGAAATGATTATGAACAATAAATTTTGTTCGAAACTTTGTCATCCAGTAAATAATACTTTTTCACTGTGTGATATATCTAATAGAAAAACCAGGGAGTACTGGACAGTCGCTAGCGACTGGCTCTATTCAGGCCTGGGGTTCCAGTAGGAAGCCGTGACCAGTAGGGTACAGCAGACTGAAGATGAGGCAGTAACTAGTGGGAGAAGAAGACATTGTGAAATGGTCGCGCTATGTCGGGAATTGGCAAAAGTTATAATTCATAGACTGGTCATAGGATTGGGTGCCAGTGGCTAAATGATATACGAGCTAGCATACCTTGCATCCAGTAGGTCCTGGGTTTGAACCCCGGAGGGTGCGTGCTATTGAAGAGCCCCGATCTAGGCTGACGAAACTTCCTTCCAATAATCCCAGGTTTTTCAGTGGTTCTCTAACTGATGTCAACTCACGATGAAATCCTTCATCCCATAAAACAAAATCCCTACAAAAATCAATACTTGAATATATATCTAATAAACAAAATAATATGTAATTACATACTACCACAGTGCCCAAGATTTATACATATATTTTAATGAAGTTAGATATTTTCCTGTGTTAGTGATTGATTCAAGTTTCAGTCGACATTCATACACTCGTATCAGGTGGTGGCTTATTAGAGGTACACTTAAATTAGCAGAGAATTACAGACATGTAACAATACTATATAACTTTTGAAAAGTGTAACCATTGCATTTGTTCACATTAATTGTAATAAAATTATTATAAATGTATCATTGGCATGTACCATAATCCTGTTTACGGTAATAAGTGACACATATTTATTGTAGATTTTGGTTATGTATTAGAAAGATGGTAATTGTGTAACAGCAGAGCACATGCAGATATAGCAACGGAATCATTTATTAGCAAGTCGATATACAGATACAGGGAATCACCATTTGCACATGCCTACTGTATTGTGCTTCTTTGTCCCCCTTTCATAATTTCTAGGTTCTTTCGTATCTACGTATCGTTCATTTCTTCTTTTCATTAAATCAATCTCTCCGTTCTTCTATATTCTTTCAGATTATGCATATATATTTGTGTTTTTACCTATGTACTACTTATAAATCTTGTCAGTAGCACACGCCACAATTGTTTCTTTGCTCAGATTCGAATTATCTGAATGTGGAAATAAGGTTTACAGGTTTGACCACTCGATCTCCAACCAGTGGGTGCCAGGTCCGCTTTCTGCCCTGTCTATTTCAAAACTGGACAAGTGGGTTGTCTTGACAAAGTTTTCAGTGTGGAACTTTGCACAGAAATGCGGCAATTCAAGTTGTCACACTTTATATAGTAAACAAAGATGGAGAAAAAGTTGCAGAAGGATTTCAATGAACAGAAATGTACAGGAAAAAGAATGGTAACATGGCAAAACATGAGAATTTAGGGGATACAGGAGATTATAAGGAGTGAATTCATCTAAGCCAGTGAGAATGTTTTTGAGACATCTCTCTGATATTTTCAAGCCATTGGTTTTTTACTTTCTGAGGACCTCAAATCAACGCCTTTCTATCGTAGCGTTGGCATAGTCTAGAATTATTCTACGGCATGCACCTAAATATTTTAAATCTAGGGTAGTTTTAGAGTACTGTGAGAGTTAACCAGAGGCTAGTGGATTTCCAGCATATCCTAAAAACGTATGTCCACAATTATAGTAGTGTTGGATTAAATATGGTGCAACTTGAAGAACTTTCCGTTGGCCTTAGATTTTGCGATAGACGCAAACGAGTCAATCACTTAGATACTGATATTGAATTTGAAAACCTATTTAGTCAGACTAGGGATCTAGTCCAGTCATCCAACCTGGAACTAGAATGCTTCAAATCCAGTCTAGTGGATTGTCGTTATTAGTATAAAAACATCAAATACGACAGTAAACGTTTCTTGACAAAGGATCACAAGGAAGAAATAAAAAAACTGATAAAGGAAGAAAGACTGATAATCACAAATCCTGTTAAAGGATCTGGAGCAGTCCTCCTCGATAGAAGTGACTATATTAAAAGAAGAAGATGATATATTGAAGGACACAGAGAAGTTTCAAAAACTTGTATAGAAAAAAGATTTCAATAACAAAATAGAGAACGAATTAAGGGGAGGAACAAATATTTTCTGAAAGTTTATATGAAGAAATCGGATCAACAGCCGTGTACACGCCAAGATTTTATGGTTTACCAGAGGTACCTCAACCAGAAGTACCGTTAAGACCAATAACTGATACGCAAAATTCGCCCTACCATGCTCTAGCTAGATGGTTAGTAAATATTCTCAAACCTTTGCATGAGCAGATAGTGAAACATAGCGTCAAAGATGCATTTGAATTCGTAGACAAAATCAAAGATATTAATATCAAGGATACATCTATGATATCTTTGGACATAACATCCTTATTCATAAATGTACCTCTAGTAGAAATGGTTAACTACATATGTGAACAAGTGTATAACCAGTCGATAAATAATGACATTCCAACGGAAATCCTAAAAGAATTTTTATTAAGGTGTACCATGAATGTAAATTTCAAATTTGATGGCACACTTTACAGACAAGTGGACGGGGTGGCAATTGGTTCCCTAATGGGCTCCATTTCGGCTGATTTCTTTCTAAGTAAACTAGAAAATGTACCTTTGAACAACCTTATCAGAAAATTCTCATTTTATTGCCGGTATATGGATGACACCTTTATTCTTTGTGATAATGATTCGGATAGGAACACAATAATAACTCAATTCAATGAAGTACATTCTGCTATGAAATTCACGTGCGAAGAGGAATCCCAAAACAGAATTGCCTTCCTAGATGTCCTCCTTACAAGAAAACCAGATGGTAGTATAAAAAGAAATTTGCTTAGGAAAAGCACATGAACACGACAATATACACATTTTCACAACTTTGTTCCTCTCCAGTACACAAAAAATTTACTAAAGACCTTCATCTACAGGGTTAAAGCTAGATGTTCAGAAGAGGTAATTAAAGATGAAATAAGGATTAAAAGTGGCTATCCCGAAAAATTTATCGAGAAACAAGTGACCAGTTAGGCAGAAAAGGACTATTCTCCATGTGTAAATAACAAACTTTTATATATACGACTTCAGTTGAAGGGTGATGCACCTATTGAAGTAATTGCTGGCAAGTTAAGAAAATCCATTCAAAGAACTTTTCATGCTGGTGACCTACAAGTCTTATTTTCTACATGACCGATGATGATACCTTGACTGAAAGATGAAGTACCTAGACTAACCACTTCCAATTGTATCTACCAATTTAATTGCTCTTGTGGTGGAGCGAGTCATATTGGCCATCGCTCCACGAACTTGACTTTTCGTGCACTCTAAGGAACACCTACCAGCGTGACTAAATAAAGGTGTAGTGAAAACCATCAACATTTTGATATTAAAACACCCGGTTCAATCTAGCTGGCCACAAAGCCAGCATTGGAGAATCCTTCTCCACAATCATCTATCGGGTACCAAATTAATTGCCAAAAACGTTGAGATACCGCATACTCCAAACAGCAGAAGCTATATCGATTTGCCTGAAACAACCGGTGCTCTGTGGCAGAAGAATAAGGTCCAGCCACTACTACTGCTCTGGCTGGCCTTCAGTGGAGACTATAAATCATGAATTCTTATTATTATCTTTCCTAATTTGCCTGTCTGATATTCAGTGTATTGTTATGTTGATGCTATGGAACTCTAATCCATTCATGTAATTATGATTGATTGATTCGATGTTATTTAAACAACATTAATGTTGTTAATAACACTAATTCATTCATTCGCCTTTATGTGTAAGTTTAACTGTAGAACCTGATGATGATGAAGTTATAGAAAAGAATATACTTTGTTCAGTAACCTTTCTATTGAAAACACTAACATTAGGTTTTTTTCTTTTGAAACGAGGGCTTGACAATTAATGAAAATATCTCACAGCAAGTATTTCGTATCAACCGAAGACGCCAATTTACACTTAAAGCTGAAAATTGTATCAAATGGGAACCACGTAGAGGAAAGTATAGTAAGTTAGGAGGAAGTTTTTTTACACATTCAGAACTGTAATTTGTTTTTTTATTGTTCTAATGTAGAGGGAATTAAAATGTGCGAACTTAGATTTACTAGAAAAGATTTCCAGATCAAGGTGAAGGTGGTAATTTATCACTATTCTGACAACTTTAAATATGCATCGTGCTGATCAAGTGATCATAATAAGCAAAGAGCGAAACATTTCCACATTCAGATAGACTTATTCAAAAGACACTGAACAGTGTAATACCCTTCTACGTGATGCTTTTAATTAAAAGGTACAAAATAATGAAAGTGTTGGTGATTATTGTTGTTAGATCCGATTGAAAAGATAGAGAAACAGTTAGCGGAAACATTGAAAAAAAGCCTGAAAAAACAAGGCTTTATCTCACAAAGTCAGTATACATCACTGAAACCCACTGGAACGTTCACACCAAGATCAAAATGGCTCGCCTAAAGTGCGCAAAATTGGTGTACCACTTCAACCAGTATTAGATATGTTAAATTCACCATACAATCCCGTTGCCAAATGGTTAGTCGAACTCTTACAGCCTCTCCATACCCAGTTGGTGAAACACAGTGTAAAGAATATTTTTGAATTTGTTGAAAGGGTAAAAGATTTGAATCTTGACAATAAATTCATGATATCATTTGACGTATCTTCCTTATTCACTAATGTACCACTTATGGAAAGAGTAGACTTTGTATGCAAAGAACTCATAAGAGGAAACATCGATGTCGGCATTCCTATATCTTTTATGAAAGAGCTTCTCTTGAAATGCACAGTGAATGTCCACTTTTTATTTAATAAGGAACTATATAAACAAACCGATGGTGTAATAGAGAAGATTTGTAGCTCAGGTGGATGATTTGCAATTAATAGTATTCTCTGAGCTGGCTGATTTGGTTGCGGAGCTTTCGTTTTCCTTCTGGACAACATCTTCAGCACAATGTTTAGCATAAAGTGAAATGATTTAAATTTCTCCATGAGTGATATAATTGCGTCTCCTGGTAACCATCTTTACATTTGTATTGACCGTTTTCCGAAGGTGTTGTCCAAAAGGACGACGAAAGCTGCGCAACCAAACCAACCAGCTCAGAGAACACTATTAATTGCAAATCGACGGTGTGGCAATGGGGTCACCACTAGGACCCATTCTAACCGACAATTTCCTTGATAAACTAGAAAATGGGCCTTTGAAAGATATTACTGATGAACTTGAATTCTACTGCCGGTATATGGATGATACATTTTTGATTATGAAAAATGAGGAGGAAGCAAAGAACATCCTGGATAAATTTAACGAGGTTCATCCTGCAATAAATTTTACTATTGAGAAAGAAAAAGACTCTAGTACTTCATTCCTGGACGTACTTATGACTAGAATAGAGGATGGCACAATTGGAAGAAGTGTATATAGAAAACCTTCATCAGCTGGTTAGTATGCTAACGTTTTCAGCTTCATGCACTTGAAATACAATGGCAACCTGATAAAGTGTTTGGTCCATAGAGCAAGAGCAATCTTCTCGGATGAATGTCTTGATGAGTAACTTAATAATATTAAACGGTTACTGAGTGAAAAGAGTTATCCAGAAAAGTTTATTGATGAGAATATGAAACAAAAATCAATGCAGCCCAGTTCCTAAAAAGGCCTTATTCTTACAAATTCAGTTCCTCGGGGATAACATCAGCGTAATATTAACACTTCGCCTAAAGAATGCATTAAAAAGAACTTTCAGTGATGCTGATTTACTCTGTGTCTTCAGGACCACCCCTATTTTGCCTTAAGGAGTAAAAGATAAACTGCCTAACTTCGCATCTTCCATGTGTATTTACCAATTCAACTGCTTCTGTGGAGCCAGTTACATAGGTCGTACAATAAGGCACGTTGCTCCTCGAATTTCCCAACATCCTCCTGCATGGTTAATTAAGGGACAAACAAATCCATTCATAGCTATATTCTATCTCATCTTGTAGATACACAACACAAGACAGCTGTCAACGAGGCTTTCAAAGTCATCTGCTACAAACTAACTAATTTTAATTTCGCCTTCAGAGTCCGTCTACTACATACTTGTGAGGAGTCGGCATCAGCATTAAGAAGCCTAATTTATGTATCCGAAAGAAGTTGGTTCAGACATTGTCCTTATCTTGGCCGTCTAGGTTTGAATGACCCTCAACTTTTTGTGAAAATTTCCTTAATTTTAGTTTTAAATTCTATTTGCTATTAGATTTTTTTATGATTATCATAATTTAAGCATCTTTAATGAACTGTAATTCCAATGATCTTGCTTAACAAATAGATATTATTTTAAAAAAACACTAATATTGTTATTGACTACTATTCTAGAAAATTCTGTGTATATAAACATATATATATATATAATTGTATTAGACCACAAGCCAAGTTCAACACTCAAAAACTGAAGGACCAGGCCACAAAGGATATCTTCACTGCAAGCATAAATGACAATGCCGAGACACAAATCAACACTGGCGAAGAGGTCAGCGTCGAAAAGCACTGGAACAACTTGAAGACAGTGTGGAGTCAAACCTGCATGGAAGTTCTAGGCAGAAAGAAGAGACAGGACAAACAATGGCTCACTACGGACACTTGGAAACTAATAGAAGAGAGAGGGATGATGAAACAAAAGATTCTCCACTGCACCGATGAGCAACAAAAACAGGATTTGAATGCAAGCTACAAGACACTGAACAAAAGAGTAAAGAAGAGTGCCAGAGAAGACGAAAGAAAGTACTATGAAACCATGGCAAGTGAGGCAGAACAAGCTGAAGGCAAAGGAGATCTCGCAACACTCTACCAAACTACTAGGTACCTATCGGGCAAACGTTTGACACAAATCAAGCCGGTGAAGGATGACAATGGAAAGTCACTCACCAAAGAAATGGAGCAAAGGAAACACTGGGCTGAACACTTCAAAAGACTCCTAAATCGACCACCACCTACAACGCGCCCAACAATATTAACAATGGAGGCAGAGCTACCTGTGAACACCAACCTCCCGACGAAATCAGAAGTCCTGAAGGCAATCAAGATGCTGAAAGCTGGAAAAGCAGCAGGACCAGATGGAATCCCAGCAGAAGCGTTGAAAATGGATCCAGAGACAACAGCGGACTTGATGACGCCACTACTGGAGAAGGTGTGAAAAGAAGGCAAAGTACCTGAGGATTGGAAGAGAGGATAGTAATTCAAATTGCCAAAAACAGGGAATTAAGTGAATGCGAGAACTGGCACGGAATTATGCTCCTGTCCGTCTCAAGCAAAATACTAAGCCGCATCATCCTGGAGAGAATCAAACAAGCCCTGGATGAAAAACTTCGACCAGAACAAGCTGGATTCAGGAGAAACAAGTCATGTGTTGATCAAATCGCCACATTACGGATCATCACTGAACAAAGCCTGGAATGGCAGTCACCTCTCTATCTCAACTTCATCGACTTTGAAAGGCCTTTGACAGCGTCGAACGAGAGGTTCTTTGGCAACTACTTCCCTACTACGGGGTGCCACCGACAATTATACATCTCATCGAACAGTTGTACGACAATGCTGCATGCCGCCAAGTAATCCACAACGGGAAACTTACGGAATCCTTCGAAGTGAGGACAGGAGTTAGACAAGCTGGCTGCCCACTATCGCCAATGATTTTCCTGATTGCAGCAGACTAGATAATGCGACAAACAGTGGGCAATGAGGAAACAGGCATAAAATGGACTCACACAAAAAACTTGGAGGATCTGGACTTCGCCGATGATATATGTCTGATTTCCTACAAACTGGAAGATATGCGAGCGAAAAGCAACAAGTTGGCAGAAGAAGCATCCAGAGAAGATAGGACTTCAGGTGAACATAGATAAAACAGAGGTGATGGAGATTCCTGGGCAACACTACCAACAGCAACAACGATCAGTATAAATGGGAGGAACCTGAAAGAAACAACCTCCTTTACCTACTTACCTGGGAAACATTGTCGTTTCAACTACAAGCGGAACTGACAAGGATATCAAAGCAAGAATCGGGAAAGCAAGACAAGCTTTCACTACTCTCAAGTCTGTGTGGAGGTCAACAGTACTCCTTAGTATGAAAAATAAGATCCGGATTTTCAACTCCAATGTGAAGTCAGTGCTACTATACGGATGGATCAGAGACTTGGTCAGCGCGTCATAAAGAGCATCTCAAACAAACTACAGACCTTCATTAACAGTTGTCTTCGCTCAATACTCAAGATCAGATGGCCAGCCAGAAAAGATTTGCAACAGGGTGGGATCTTTGGCAATGAGCGAACCAACACAGCAGGAACCGAATGTGAAACAAATAGGCAGAAAGAAATGGAGATGGATTGGCAGGCCATACTCTGAGGAAACAAACCATCAAGTGAGTGACATCACTAGACAAGCCATTGCTCGAGTGAAACCCGAAAGGGAAGCAGCGAGTTGGTCGTCAGTGGAAGGGTAAGGGTGACTTGGAGGAGGTCATGTAAAGAGGAGATGGAAGCGTTTGGGCAGACTTGGAGCCAGGTGGAGACTCTAGCAGAGAACCGAACGCAATGGAGATATGTGGCTGAAGCCCTATGTTCCTCTAGGAATTAAAGGATATAATAATAATATATAATTGTATAGCCAGAAGAGGAAGTTATCGAAAAGGAAATTCTTTACTCAATGATTCTGTTTTGTATAGATTTGTTTGTTTGGGTTCACAGAATAGTTTAACTAGCATATTTAGAACCCAAATAATATAATATATACATTTCAGCGGGTATTAGGAATTGTTGCTCCACACGAATTTAATTCATGAATAACTACTTTTCACGCTGAACAATTAGACGATTCTTAGCATTTTGAGAGTAAGACATATTTGTACCGAGTTTGTAAATAATTCAGTTTTTGTAATTATTTTATTCCTTTGAAATCCAAGTAGAATATAGGGTTTCAAGCTAGAGCTTTGAGGTTTCATTAGCAGAGTTGTTTAATTTTTATGGGGTAGGGTTGTGGTTATCACACCCAACCTTCCCTCTTTATTAGACTGAATATCAGCTAAGTGAGGTTTAAGAATGTGTTGGCCAGGGATCGAATCCCAGACCTACTCAATGAAAAATGTAGTAATATTAGCAAAATAGAGCAATCTAAAATAACCGACCAAAACCGACTTGTTGTGGTCCAAGACTTTATTGAGACGCGCACAGTCACAAAATGCTCCAAAGACAACAAAAAGATAGTGGTTTGAAATGAAAACTGAGGTGCTATTTAAGAATAATATCATGTGGGAACGCAAAATTACTTCAACAGTGCCGTTAGGCGGCTATACAAGAAGAAAGAGAGAGAACCTTCTAAGTACAAAGCACGTACTCTAGAACAAAATTAGTTAGCTAAAATTCAACTATAAGAAGTACCCGAGGATTAATTAGAATATTTTAAGAAAGTCGGCATTAAAAACTCTACCCAAGAGAATCACACACCAGCGATTCTTGTAGACAGTCTAAGACCAGAGTTACTTTGATTCACGCAAACAAAGCCACATCGTAAAAAATACATGATCAATGTAAAGTGCGACTACAAAGAGAAGCATTAAAATTAGAGATTAAACAGGGACAAAAACAAATAGTAAGGAATAAGTCAGCAGATGGTATGCAAATGTCAGAAGAGTGATATGCGGTGTTGGAGAAAAACGGATGATAACTGAAAAGTTAGTTGAAATATCCAGAGCAGTATTCATATTGTAATCAGAGAGATTTTCCAAACACTTATTCCGCTACAGTAATAATGTCTGCAGCAAAGTTTTGGAGTGCAATTTGTAATAGTGTTATTTTTATGGGTTGGAATTGCCAGCCTCGTGCTCAACCTCCCTTCTTTTCCAGTATTATTAACCGGCTAGGAAAGTCTTAGATGGGAGTCGATGAGGAATCAGATACGGACCTCTTACAGGGCAGGCAAGCATTCTACAATTAAACAACAAACGCGCTGTAGGTATTGCATTCAGTAATCCATCGAATTATGTTTGGATCAAGTGACGTATTCAACAACTGTCCGAAATGGAATGCATTTTTTAAGCGAATCAAATGTTCTGAGGGAAGATTACTTGTCTCAACTAGGCTTTATGGTTATGAGAAGCAAAAAATGAAGAGCCTATCATACCTGTGTGGAATGTGTAAGCTGTCATGAATGAATTAACAAACTGACGGATGGAATTCACAGATTCCATAACAGTAGAATTATCCTAAAATATTTAACTTCGAATCTCTGTAAAACTTTACGTCAGTATGTTGCAATCACTTTAAATACTGCAATAAAATCTCTCTATAGTTGGTTTGTAACGATTATTTTTGTTTTTACGAGTTTGACCACGGATTGATATCAGTTAGAAAGCCATTGAAAATCAGGGAGTACTGGACAGCTGTTCCGTCCTAGTTTTTGGGAATCATCAGCAGTACGCACCCACCGCTAGATTTCGAACCCAGGCCCTCCAGGTTACAAGGCAAGCTCGTATACCATTCAGCCACTGGGACCCGGTTAAATGGCCAGTCCATGAATTCTAACTTCTACCAATTCTTGATGTAGTGCGACTAGCACCAACCAATATCATCAGTGGGACATCCATCCTCACACGTGACATCTAATTGGACCTCACTGGTCACTAGAACTCCAGGAAACTCCATCCTATAGCAAGTCACTCGCTAGCGAGCATCATATTAATTTTCTGTAGTTGGTTTGTAAGGATTAGTTTTGTTTTTACGAGTTGATCACGGATTGATATCTGTAAGAGAACCATTGAAAAGTAGAAGTTAAAATCCATAGGTCATTGAAACGGATCCCAGTGGCTGAATGGTAAATGAGCTTGCCTTGTAACCGGAAAGTCCTGGGTTGGAACTCTGGCGGTTGGTGAGTAAAAATAAAATCTTTCTTTATAAATTTTGAGGTTTATGCAAGAAAATTACTTTTGTTCATTTGTGTTCAGGTAAAACAGATCCTGTGACATTCTTGATCAACTATCTTAATAGACATGGAATGCGGTTATTGGATTTATATCATTTACTGGATCCTCAACAAGCAGGAGTTATCAGCTCTGCTCAATTCACGGAAAGAATGATAGTAAGTTATTGTATAATTCCCTATGAGAATTTTGTTTACAGATTTATCAAGAAGGAGGCTATATTTGTATTGATACTTTGTAATAAATTGGCATCAAGAGTGAGAAGTGTTTATTACGCGGAAAATGCAATGAACTCGCGTGCTTTTAGTATTTATGCGTAGCAACTTTATTCTAGTCAAAGTTGACTTTCTGACAGGTTTAAATATATAGCTCAGAAAACTCATACATTTATTCCCCTTTCTGAATTTGAATAAAAGTAGGAACAACAGTGGTTCGTGCAGAATAATATGGTACCATCATTTATTTCGTTAACCTTTCATCATCTGTTTACAGTCTAAATACATTGTTAAGTTTATGCATAGTCAAGTCTTAACATACTTGAAAATTTTACATGATGTCAGTTGACAGAAGGTTCCACAATTAGTGGACAGTGCTCATAAAATTTCACTTATATAATTTTTACACAGGGAGTTCAAGTTTAAACAAAGTAAGTGTATGCATACAATGGCAAGGGAGTTACGTAAAAGGGACGAAATATGCGTAAGATGATGAGTGACTGATAAATTAGGTAACGATGTACTGAGTTCAAATGAAATCATAGGAACAAGAGACAAGCGAAATTACACCATATTAAGGGGGGGTGAGGTTAAAGCCAAAGACTACGTAATGAGATGAAAAACATGATAATGAAAGACATCGAGTTACCAGGATGGGCAAGGAAAAACTACTGATGACTGCATCTTCCTGAACACATAAATCGGGTTTCAGGCGTTTGATAGAGATTGCTTCGGCAAACTTGAGTAGAACGGAGCTTTTTTGTCTATTGATAATTTTAGAGGATTTCGCGGCTTCCACCTCATGACTCGTGTCAAGTAAATGCCTAGTATAAGCGTTCCCTCCTTGCTTGAGACGTAGGCGTTTCGGTACGTGTTCCTAAAATCTGAGATGTGATTGAAATTTGATATGTGTTCAGAAAGAAGCAGTTATCAGTAGTCTTTCCTCGCCCATCCTGGTAACTCGATGTCTTTCATTATAGTTTTTCATCTGATTACGTAATCTTTGGCTTTAACCTCACCCCCCCTTAATATGGTGTAATTTCGCTTGTCTCTTGTTTCCGTGATTTCGTTTGAACTCAGTACATTGTTGCTTAATTTATTAGTCACTCATCATCTTACGCATCTCCCTTGCCATTGTATGCATACACTTACTTTGTTTAAACTTGAACTCCCTGTGTAAAAATTATATGTGTAATTTTCTGAGCACTGTTCACTAATTGTGGAACCTTCTGTCGACTGACAATGTGAAATTCCTAAGTTTGTTAGGGCTTTTGTGTACATGAACTTAATTATAATTTTTTTAGGCTATAAGCAGCTGAGATGATGAGAAGTTAAAGAAATAAATGATGACGGTAACATATTTTACTGCAAAAACGTTTGTTCTTGCTTTATGCAAGTTAAATGAATTGATTGCCTTGTCTGACACAGTAGGATAGGAAATATTATAAGAATGATATTTCTTCCACACATATTTTAGGGAACTCCTTTCATTCTGCGTTAGACCGCGATTTTATTTATGGGAGTAAAGTTTCATCTGTATTATACATATACCTAATATTCCCTTAGATTTCGAGTGGAACAAAAGGCTACCACAGCATATCCTGCTTTTTGCAGTTCTCTTTAGCTGGTTCCACAATGGCCCATAGGCTCTCGTCTCCTTTTCACAGAACATCTTCCGTATCATATCCGGACTCATCCTTTGTCATATGGGTTCAACTCGAAAGATGGCCTGGAGCGCGGTTTTACTCAACGGTCCATAACTATTTACAGTTATCTCTAGAATTCTTACTTCTTCTCTTGATCTGCGTTGTTTGTAGGAGCTTAGTATTGGATAATTGTAATTTTCCATTTTTTGAATTAAATCTTGCTGTCATAATCCTGGAGAAGATTGGTTCCCATTGCACAAGAGACTTCGACGCTGGCGATAACATCATGATAACCACTACACTCGGTGTGCTTTTGGTTGTTGTCTAAATGAACGGAAAACATTACTCACTCCTCAGTTAGCAATTGGGAAAGTTCACTTCCGATATCGTATCTTCTCATTTTTTGGCCGAACACTGTGCAGACATTCCATTCACCAGCTGGCGTCATCCCGTCTCTTAGATTCCAGTTGTTGTGCACCGGATGTTCTGTAACGATAAGGTTGATTTTCCGGAATAGGGGCGTTAACTCCAAGCCCAGTCTTCCCTCTTTCTCTGAAAGTAGGACCAGCGCTAGTAAACTGACTAACTAGGTGAGGTTAATAGATATATACATATATATCAATAATTGGGTTCCCCATCTAATAATTTCTTTCAAAATTGTTTGATTTTAGAAATCTGAAATTCCACTAACTCCTGATGACCTACAAACGCTAATTAAATACATTGACCCTGATGGTACTGATCGAATAACTTATAAGTAAGTCAGATCATAAATTTCTTGTTGCATATCTGTTAAGCAGTGTTGAACACTTTTTCCCAAAGACTTTTATTACGTAAAACACCCTCATATATGTGGAAACATTTACTGACAGTTGTAAACAAAGTATGATTTTTTCCTCTGTTGATGTAAATACATACTCTTAACAAATCTTTCATACGCTCTCCTAATGACGGTTTCATTCCTAATGCTACAAATAACAAGGTTATTCGCTTTCATAATTTTAACACTTTTGATGTTTAATTGGTTGGAGGATTTCATCATGAGCTGACATCACTTAGAGAACCATTGGAAAACCTACAGAGAGTAGTCGACAGCTGTTTCGCCAGTCTAGATTGGGACTCTTCATTGGCACGAACACACACCACGGAGTTCGAATCTACGACTTTCCGGTTACGAGGCGTGCTAGCTCGTAGAGCACTAAGTCACTGGGACCCGATCCAGTGGCCAGCCCATGAACTCCGAATTCTGCCAATTCATGACATAGCGCGACTACTTCCCAGTGTCTTCTTCGATGGGTTATTGCGTCACCTTCAACCTGTTGCACCCTACTGGCCAAGGCTTCCCACTAGAACCCGAGGTCACTGCCTGAATACGGCTGGTCGCTAGTGAGCATCATATGATGTTTTCAAATATATGAAATCCCCAAAACCGTCCTAAAAGCCTTGGGGCTGATAGTATACCTGCTGTTTTCCTCAGAAGATGATGTGCTGACATTTTATATTATCCTCTTACAAACATTTTCAATGTTTCCTTTCCCAGTAATGCTGTACCTGCAGAATTGGAAGACATCAAAATTATCCCACCACCCTAATTATGGTTTTGGTTTTCATGTTAAATTTAGATCTAAAGCAATTACTTCTCCCTTTTTGAAATTAGTAGAGAAACTGCCTTTACTCAAGTTTGAATCTTTCGTGAAAAGTTTCAACTATCTTAAAAGGTTTTCTTATAAACAGGATAGAAGTACTTTATGTGCGGCTGTCTTGCTTCATACTGCTGTTTTCTACTTAGACAAAGGGAAGAAATATGTTCTATATACCTTTCTGGACTAAATATCCTCTTCTGACTCTACACTCAGATGTCTTCTGTTAAATAAGCTATCCTTGATGCAAACCAACTGATAAGTTGTCAACCAGTTGCATTTTTATTTCTCTGACAGAATGCAGTATTCCTCTGCCTTGCTTACTGAAACCAGTGCGCCTCAAACCTCTGTTTCCTATCCTCTTTCATTTTCTTTCTTCTTACATGACTTGCTTATTTCGAAAGAAATCAACTTTGTTACATATAATGATGATCTGACTGTCTCGTTGCCAGTTACTTCCCTATCTGGCTGTTTCAAACTTAATAACTTTTTGTTGGAGATTAGCCAGTGCTATAAGCTGAATAGTCTGTCCCTCCACACATCAGACAATTAACTTCCCTTTCAAGCATAGACGTAATCTACAGGAACTTGTTCATTAACATGATGCTAGGTCAAGAATTAAACATCTTGGAATAGTTCTGTCCTCTGAGCTTTCTTGGTTGTTCTTTATCTTGTCGATTTCTAAGAAAATGTTCTGACTAATCTTCTACCTTAGGAAATTAAAATAATCAGGAATCACTTCACCTCTACTTTAACTCTTGTAATATTATTATTTTTTGTTTTTGTTTTTGCTGTTGTCGAGTAAATTAAGTGGAATGTTGTACCAAATGCTGAGAATTCCACACTGTATTGTGAGTACTATTTTGGAACAAGGCAAATTATTACTATTATTAATTTGAGTAAACTCTTCAGTATTTGTGTTTTAAGTGTTTGTAAGTCATTATGTTTCAGAAATTCAAACTGAAATGTATATGAAATTCACTTCTGCTGGTATCACGTTACTCTTGTGGCATGAAAAGCGTGTCGACGTCGTGACTGAACACTGATTTATCAGTCTCTTTTTTTTAATTAAAATATGTTGACCTTCAGCAGTGTGTTTCTATCCTACTATTTTGTGTAATTTTAATAACTGGTACACAACAGTAAAGGCGGTTTATTTACAACTATTCATGCCATATTATAAATTCTAGAGGACTATCAGCAGGGGACTAGTTACGTCTACCTACTCATTCTGATAGTGACAGATTACGAATTATCAGGATTTAATTAAATTTAAGATTGGCTTCATAATAGATATAATCAGTTAATAATAACAATAATAGCTTTATTCCAGACAATACTTTTGATACAAATATGGAATTTTCAGCATGTAATATAATCAGTATTGCATCTAATTTCCTCATTACGGGGGTAATAATTAAAATAGGGAATCAAATTAATAAGATTGTTCAATATGAAGTGAATACAAACTTAAATCAAATGAAAATATTAGCAACAATGTAATAATGGGGACAAAAAACAAAAAACCGTTCACTTAGAGTTCCTCAGTAAGTTGGTATTTTCCTGTCTTACACTTTTCTCATCACATAAAATGTGTGCCTGCCAAATAAGGTATTGTAGGGCTTCTGTACTTAGTCATCCGATCATACGGTCTTCTACAGTTTCTTCTAGTTCTACCTGATGGATGAGATGCAGGGAGAGGATGTTCGGAGTGTGACAGGATAATATTTGCTAATTTCTTGCAGGAATCCAGGTGTCTGTCAACAGTGGTATTACCAAGTGGTATCACCTCACACGCCTTACCGATGGCTTTTCGTGCCCCAAGCAGTATAACAAAGTCTCTTCTAAGTAGCCCGGGAAAGACTAGTTACTAGTGTCAAATCAAAATATCCACTACAGTCCTACAGGAGGTCAATCGCGAGCCCGAATAGCTCAGTGGTAACGTCTCTGACTGAAGCACTGGGTGACGCGGGTTCGAATCTCAGAAGGGACATGAGTTCCTTCAAGGTTGCAGATACGCCTTGCTGACGAGTGCCAACTAGCACGAAACCTAGGTCCAAGGCTTCCTGCCGATTGCCTCCAACCACCTGATATCATCACAAACTATGTACACCGTGATGGCGAGCTACCTAGAATGGTGGCCACATTACAACCTGACTGATAGAATTCAGTCTGCACCAAAGAGAGGACTAGACGCATCACACTAGTTACTAGTGTCAAGTCAAAAACTCCATTGATCTTTCGGTACATTGGTTCTCTAAATGATTTCTTTTGATGATGAAACCTTCTTAAGGTTGGTTTATTTTTCCCAGTTAAGTCAATTGGCTGTTTAGTCAAACAAAGTTAAACTCTACTCTACTCTGTAAGTTTAAATACCAGCGTGATACTAATCTTAAAAGGAATCTGTGTGGTGTTTTTGATATGATAAAGTGGCATGATAAAGTCACTGAATTTTTTCCACATGTGACAATTCTACTCACCTTGAGGTGACAAGGGAATTCAAGTAGTATGTTGCGTCTATATGGCTTCACAAGATAACTATGAACATCTGTGGCATCTCTCAAGAATATTACTATAGTCGAATTACTGTTATTTTATGTAATGCACCAAACTCCAAATATAAATAATCCAACCAACAGCACACACGGAAATGCCAGTGGACACCAATCCTCCAACGAAAGAAGAAATCCTGAGTGCGATCAAGCTACTGAACGCCGGCCGGGAAGGCAGCAGGACCAGATGGTATTCCTCCCGAAGCACTGAAGACGGCCCCAGAGATTACGGTAGATGTTCTCACTCCATTACTGCAAAAGGTTTGGAAAGAAGGAAAGGTGCCTACTGATTAGAAGAAGGCCTGGCTATCTCGTCAAACTGCCAAAGAAGAGCGATTTAGATAGGCCTGTGCAAGAACTGACTGGCGTGGAATAATGCTCTTGTCCACGCCAAGTCAAATACTAAGTCGCATCATCCTGGAAAGAATAAAGGATGCACTACATACAGAACTCCGCCCCACCTACCAGAATAAGAGGGCCAGATTCAGGAAAAGCAAATCATTTGCTGATCGAATTGCAAATCTACGCATTGTCACCGAACAAAGCATAGAACGGCATTCAAACCTCTACCTCAACTTCATCGGCTTCAAAAAGACCTTCGACAGCGTTGACCGAAACGTAATTTGGAAACTACTTCAACAATAGGGCGTGCAGTGACCAAGTCTTTATCAACCTCACTTGACAGATGGCTATAAGACATTGCCATGTGTCAGGTGATCCACAACGGACAACTCAGCGTAGCGTTCGAAGCGCATACAGGAGTAGGGCAAGGGTGCCTGCTTACTATCGCCGATGATATTCTTAATTGTGGTGGACTGGATTACGCGTAAGACTGCTGGGGGCGAGGAGTCAGGAAAACGCTGGACAACCAATAAGTAGACTCTAGAAGATCTGGATTTCGCAGATGATATACGTAAAGTGTTACACAAATTCGAAGACTTGCAAGAGAAAACCAATAAACTGTCTGTAGAGACTGTCACAGAAAACAGGACTGCAGGTGAACATAGAGAAGACGGAGGTGATGAAGATAACCAACCAACAGCAACAACAACCAGCACCAATCACCATCAACGGGGGAGATTTAACAGAGGATAGTTACTTTCTTCACTTATCTGGCCAGAAAGCACGGTTTCAACCACAGGCTGGTGGAACGGATGAAGATGTCAAAGTAAGAATTGGGAAGGCAAGATACGACTTCATCAACCTGAAACCAGTTTGGAAATCTTCTGCACTCAGCATAAGGAACAAGATTCGAATTTTCAATGTGAAGTCGGTTCTTCAATACGGGTCAGAAACTTGCACAGAGAGTGTGTCACGAACAGGATTTCCAACAGCCTGTTGCAGACTTTCATCAACAGCTGTCATCTTCGCCGGCTGGCTCCATATTGAAGATCAAATGGCGGCCAGAAAGAATAAGCAACAAGAAACTATGGAACAAACCAACAGGTGAGGGCCGATCCCTCAACAAATATGTAGGAGAAAGTGGAGATGGGTCGGGCATACATTGAGGAGGTGGCTAAATGACATTGCATGCAATGCATGCCATCGCTCGAGTGGAATCCCGTTCAGAAGCAACGAGTGGGTGGTCATTGCGAGAGTGACATGGAGGAGGTCATGTGAGGAAGAGATGAGAGAGCCTGGTCAATCGTGGACCCAGCTGAAGAGGACGGCAGGAAACAGAAGAAAGTGGAGATGTGTTGTTGAAGCCCTGTGTATCACTCGGAAGGCAAGGGAATAATAATATAAGAATTTAATTTATGATGAATGCTTGGATAAAATAAAATTCACATAAAAAGATTGGTAGAAATTGCCTTTACCTGATAAAATAGAAAAGTGTTTCTCTAACTCGCCTATTTACTTCGTGAAGACATGACTTATTCACACCAAACTTTATGAAAATCGTGACAATTTGAGTGCATTTTAAACACCAAAGCACAGTTTCATTCACGTTTGCTGGCTAATTCACTAAGAGGTAGATTTAATTTAAATTATCTCCTGTATTTTATGTTGTCTGATGTTGCACTGACGTTTCGCAATCAAACCTATCCTGCTTATTTCCAAAGTTATCTCAACTTTGTAATTATTTTTAAACAGGTTGCTTGCAAATCGAATATACTTTTTTCGTATAAGTGTTGGAGAACAATTACGGATCAAGGCTGCTGAATTCTCAAAGCATCAATTAGATCAGACAAGATTATTTGTACGTCCTGAAGGACCGAGTGATATCAACAGACCGCCAAAAGGTAAGACTTAGGACGTTTATAACAATGATATTGCAGGGTGTTTATTATCAGAATGTACGATTTACTTATAATAATTTTTTTGTTAGCGAGGTTGATACTTTTAATTGAAACGACAAAATGAAATGCGTCGAGGAGGTTGTATCTCGTCAGCGTTTCTTTCCCCGATCAAAGAATTTCTACCAGACACTTCGCAATAGATGGTATAGGTATGTAGGTGGAATGGGACGTCCTTTTATGTGCACTTTGGGCAGTCCATAGATTCGTGACGATGTAGAACCAGATGAGTGAAAAGAAAATTTTCTCGCTGCAACCATCTTTTTATTATTCCCTACGATCAAATGTGTCTATTCCGGGATTTGAAAAATGGCAAAGAGCGTTCAACGGTAAAGGAACTGAACAAGTTTCTACGTTTGTCTGTCAAGCTTGCTGGAGCGAATGCAAAGATTTCATTATGGAGGAGCTGTATGGATAAGGATGAATACCCGAAAGCATTCTGGAAAAGTCTAAAACGAAACTATATATCTCCCAATTCAAGCACGCTGAGAAGACACACCTCGAATCACATTGATGTCGTCCGATCCAGAATAGCTGAACTGTAACACAATGTTTCATTGAGCTTCCACGTTCTCTACGATTTGACTGTTGGTGAACGTACGTCATTCTAGGATTACGCCGATACAGTTACAGAGAAGATAATGGATGATATCATCACGAAACGTAACCAGAGCCTCAAATCCGTCACCAAGGAGACAACTTTTCGGTCTTGTCTTGAGAAATATGTATTCAATCATTCCGACGTCTCTCTCTCGCCGAATCAAATGTAACTCTTGTCTCTTGGACAGAAATTTTGTGATGCACCGACAGAAGTAAGCGAATGAAACACTAAAGTTCAATTTGAGAATTGGATTAGTCAGATGAATGATCTAGTCCCAACCTTAAATGACAGTGCAGAACACTTCGAATCAACTGTCTTGAATTGCTGCCTCGATTACATCAACAAAAGACCTACTTTTCGTAATATGCCTTCAAAAGAATTGAAACCAAATGAAAACCTGATAATACCTCGACCAGACAAACGTTCTGGAGCTGTTCTGTTCAACAAGTCAGATTATCTGATGACAACAAATTTCAAAAACAGACGATCCAAAAAGATCCAACTGAACAGACGGAGCTCCAGCTAACTAAATTATTGAAAAAAATGAAAGATGAATCGATTATCAATACAGAACTATATGAAAAGCTTCGCCCATCTAGTTCTTCATCCCTACGAATGTACGGATTACCCAGAGTGCACAATAAGGACGTCCCACTCTGCCCATCCAATCTTAGACATGAATAATTCGTCATACCACCTAATCGCAAAGTGGTTGGTAGAAATTCTTGGATGGGGGAAAGAAAAGCTGTTGAGATACAACCTCGGCGACACATTTGATTTCGTCGATTCAATTAAAAATGTCAACCTCGCTGATAATAATTTATGAAATTATGCATTTTGTAGACGGGAAACAGCAGGCGTAGTTGATTGTTGCCCTTTGAAGTTATTTCTTAAATTCAAGGGCTGATGTTAGTAATTTATAGATGCGAAGTTTCAGACTTCTGTAAAAAAACAATGCTCGGCAATATGTGGACATTGACTAAAAATATTTAACGACGGCGTGTAGTATGACTGCTAAAGTCCGTTCAAAATCTTCACATGAATATTTTCTGAACTTCTAAAGAACAGAACATGAAATTAGGTTTTTATGGACAAATCAGCTCTCTGAGATCCGAAGTAAACCTTTTTTCATTTTAGTCAATTTTGATAAAAATAAATTTTAACTAGTAGGGTAAATTACAGTTCGATATCAGCATGTTTATATAGCAAAGCGCACAGCACTATATTTAGTATTACTCAAACAAAAATTTGTTAAATCATGGGCATAAAAAAGATGCGCCACACAAAATCTCGTAGTTGTGCGAAGGATGGGATACTGCTTAGACGTAAAGACCGAAGCAGTTTTCTATCTTAAAAAATCACCCCCCCTGACAGCAGTCGACTTCACTTCTGTCCCACAAGGTAGTGCGGCAGCGTCATGAACTATGTTCCTGTGGTTTCTGGTGACCAAGGCGTGTTCATACGCCATTTGACCTATTTAGATTCGAGAGTCCACCTACAGCAAAGGTTAGGAATTGGGGGTTTCCAACTTCTTTAGATAGACCTGGATGTCCACCAGTCTGGTTACCAGCACCAGACACTAGCTTTTGCCCTTTCAGGTTTTGTGAGGAACACCACATGCTCCATGAAGGCGATAAATAGGGCTTCCCTAGAAGAGGCTATGATTACGTGTTCACATGAAAGCATTTTGAGAAACGAAACAAAGTTTAGTCAACCTCGGCTGTTACAGGTCGTTTATGGGGACCAGCACTTCATTACTGTACATTTATCGAAGTTTTGTGTACAACAAACGAAAATGAAGTTTCTCTTATTGAGGTAAAAAAACAAATCACTGTCATTGAAAATGAATCAAGTTGTTGATTCAGAAAGCATCTCACCTTCATTCATCCTAGTAAATATGAATTACAAATCAGTTCTTGCACTTATTTACTTGAAAACATATTCTATTGCCCGACACCTGTGAAGTCGGAAACCGCCGTTGCACAATGAAGTTCCTATTAGGTTGAACTTAGAGTATAAATTACACAGTAAAAGGAAAAGCGAAAGCTGAGATATTTTTTGTTTAAGAGTCAAAATATGTTGAGATAAGGGCAATATGTAGATATCGATTATTATTGTTGTTTCCTTTAATTCCTAGAGGAACATAGGGCTTCAGCCGCACTTCTTTATTGCGTTCAGTTCTCTGATAACGTTTTCACCTGCCCTCAAGTCTACCCACATGCTTTCATCTCCTCTTCTCTGTATGACCTCCTCCATGTCAACCTCGTACTAAAGACCAAATCGCCAACTGTCATTCGGGTTCCACTCAAACGATGACTTGGCGTGTGAGGTCACTTGATGGTTTTCTCAGAGTATGACCAATCCACCTCTCTTTCTCTCTTCAAACTAATAAAGGGAACCGGTTGCATGAAACCTCTATTTCTTCCTGCTTATTTGTTACACAATCGGTTCCTGGTTGGTTCACTCCCAGAGATCCCTGTAGCTGATCTTTTCTGACCATCTGGTCTTCAGCGAAGTATTGAGCGAAAACGGCTATTGATGAAGGTCTTTAGTTTGTTCGAATTACTCTTTATGACGCGCAAAGTCTCTGATCCGTAAAGTAGCACTAACTTTACATTGGAGTTGAAAATCCAGATCTTGTTTTTCATGCTGTGTGCTGTTATCCTCCACACGGACTTGAGAGAAATGAAAGCTTCTCTTGCTTTCCCGATGATCCTCGCTTTGATATCATCATCAGTTCCGTCGGCCTGTAGTTGAGACGATGCTTCCCAGGTAGGTAGGTAGGTAGGTGAAGGAGGCTGCTTCTTTCAGATTTCTCCTATTTATGCTGATTGTTGTCTTTTGTTGTTGTTGTCGTTGTCACTGTCGGCCAGGAATCTTCATCACCTCGGTTGTCCCTATTTTCACCTGAAGTCCTGTCTTTGATACTTCTTCTGTCAAATTGGATATAAATAACTTGCAGGGAAATTGTCTAGAATGATCAAATCTTGACTGCAGTTATCGGTGAAGACAAAGGTATCACACAGTCCTTCTAGATGAATTGTCAAGGTTTACACGGTTAGATTACTGTCGATTTTTTTCATGCTGTAATGTTTGAATTCAAGACAGTAAGGTCACTTTCTTAGTGAAAGTATCTGATGTAAGTGTGATATAATATAAAATCTAGTACACCATTCATTGATAAGTTTCTTTTGAATTCAACTCTACCTCAGTTTCATCAACTTCGCAAAAGTCTTTGACAGCAGTGACTAAGCAGTAATTTGTAAACTACTTCAACATTATGGTGTGCAGTGCCCAAAGTCTTCATCAACTTCATTTAACAGCTATATGACAGTGTCACGTGTCATGCGATCCCCAACAGAAAAATCAGTGAGGAGTTGAAAGTGGAGATAGGAGTAAGACAAGCTAGCTGCCTATTATAACCAATGGCATTCCTAACTGTAATAAGGTGGATTATGCGTCAGACTGTGGTTAACAAGAAGACAAGAATGTGCTGAACGGATAGGAAGACTCTAGAAGATTTGAATTTCGTGCGTGGATGATTTTTTGTCTCATGTCACACAAACTCAAAGACTTGCAGGTGAAAACCAACAAAGTGGCAGAAGAAGTCACCAGTAGAGACAGAATTTTAGGTTAACATAGGGAAGACGGAGCTTACGCACATAAACAGTCACCAACAACAGGCACCAGTCGTTGTCAACGGAATGGTTCTGAGGACGATCACTTCCTTCGTTTATCTAGGAAGCATCGTTTCAACTACAGGTGACACTTCGAATGAGGATGTCAAAGCCAGCCAAAATCGGAAAGTCTAGACAGACCTTCCTCACTCTGAAATCAGTCTGGAAATCTTCTCCATTCAGAACAGAAAACGGAATTCATATTTTCAACACCAATGTCAAGTGAGTCACTTCTTCCATAGGGGGTCAGAAACTTGGTTTATGAGTCACGAAAAACATTTCCAATGGCCGGCTGGAGAGTTTCGCCAATTTCTGCCTTTGCTGGCTCCATAATGAAGATGAAAAGGCGATAGAGAATTGATAAAAATAAACTTTTTGAATAAACCAACCATTAAACTTTTGCTCAGAAAACATTCCGAAGAGAATGGAGATGGATCGGACATACTCTGAAGAGACAGTTGGTTGACATCGCGCACCAGACCGTCAAGTGGAAGCTGAACAGGAAACGAAGAGGCTGGGAGTGGATTGGAGGGTGACATGGATGGGATTGTGTGAGGAGGACATGAGAGCCTGTGGACAATTGTGAGGTCAGTCAAAGAAGACCGCAGAGAATTGAGCAAAGTGAAGATGTTTTGTTGAAGCCCTATGTCCCACTCGAAACCCAAGGG